AGGGAGTAAAGTCGCTCGACAGTCGATGAGCTATTAAAAATAAATTTAATGTCGAATCTTATTAAAAGCAATTTTTGGTTTCACTATGGTATCATTTCAGGAAGTTTATACCCCTTTGCTATAGAATAAAATCATTTACTGATTTGAAAGGTCACACCTCCCTAAATTTGGAACTTACATCAACCAGCATGAAGACAGGAAAAATATGAAAATTCAGAGAAAAACTCATGACAAATAATGATTAAATTCAAGTCTTTATAATGGTTTAAATCACATCAAAACACATAGATTCATAAAAACGCTATGGCACAACATCTGCAGCGTCTAAAAGTAGCAAAAAGGACGGTAAAATAACGACAATGTTATAAGGATCTTTTACGTATGAGAAATACACACACATCGGTGACGTCACACGCAAAATCGATGCGGATACTCATACGGACCAGGAATTTACGCTTTTCAAAAGTCTCTATTAGGTCTAGTTTTACTTGTACCGCCTAACCCAAGATGTTTCAGTTGTCTACAGTCCTTTGAGGTTTTCACTCAAATAAAGGCAATTATTCTTTTCTCTTGATATGTAATAAAAAAAAAGTTGCATTTCGGAAGGTACATGTATATTCGATAAAGTATAGGTATATACATTGTATACACAAGATACGTGTATATTTGATAAGGTATATATTGTATATCTCATAAGGAATATTGTATATTTCATAAGGTATATGTATTTTCCAAACACCTAATTAACACCAAATGTCTATTGGCATTCCTTTCAAGAGATCACCGTAACTATAATAGAGCTTATAATAAAATATCACTTTAGTGGAAGCGGGCGTAAAATAAAGCTATTTCACACACACACACACACACCCACCCACAATAATAAATAAATAAGCTTTATTTATAAAACATACATACACATAATACACAAATTGAGTTTTGTATCCAACATTAAAATATATGTTACACACACACAATATTCACAAATCTGCGTAAAAAACCCCAAACTTCTACAGCTTACATTACCAACTGTATTCTGACACCAACCCTAATAGCACCTGCTAGATGTCTGCAAACCATTTACACTCTAATCCTACATGATAAGTCTTCAAATAAATGTTTAATACATCAAAAGATATACATGGCCAGCTTAATGAGAGTTTTTAATTAGATTTCATTGAAGCATGATGTGACTATACAATAATCTTTATACTAGCCAGATAGTAAGTATTCCCCATAGATGGTTACTACTGGTGTGTAGGGATTACTCGTTTCTAGATACTATGTCATTAAAAGTCACTTTTCACCTTGTTAACAAATAAACTTTACTTTCTGTTATATTTTTACTACTGGCAGGTTATTCTCCGTCCCTCAGATCATACATACGTCTGCTTTGTGTTTGTTGTGTCAGAATTGGGAACAGCTAGGCTACCCCCTGTCTTATATTATTACCATTTTGCTCCATTTGTAATTCAAAAAGAAAAAGAAAAAGAAAAGAAGGTGACCTATCTCGTTATAGTAACACAGGCTTCAGGTGTAATTAGGCCTATGAACGTTTGAAACAAAGCTGGATTAGAATATTTTTAACACCACTTTTTCAAAAATATAAAGAAATATCAAATAATCTTCTATGCACCACATGCACAAAATAACGATTTGCCTAATCATTGATTTTCCCATAATACGAACTATGCCGCGGAAGAGCTATAACGGGGAGTAAAGAGCTACAGATTTTCGCGCGCTTTTGTATACAACACGTGTCTTTTAACGATTATTTCATTCATTTAGTTTTTGCATGTACCCTAAAATAGATCTCTTATAGGACCCATGGTTGTTGTTGTTAGCATTATACTAACTTTATAACAAAAAGGTCGATTAATTAGATTAAATTCTTGCGCAAAGCCATAGATTGTTTTGAAACATCTTTGGGTTGAGAGATGAAAGTTGTCAGTGGACTTTAAAAGGTTCCAAGAGGTTGAGAGAGGTTCAGGGTTCTGTTAATTTGTTTATTTCACGTAATTTAATATAATGATGATCAGTTTTAAGCTCATCCTCCCACATTACTTATCTCTTTACATAAATATATTTTCTTTTATACCGTTTTATATCACTCTATCCAAACATGTCACAAAGGTTAGCTGCCAATCTTTGCAATAAAATACCTCCATTTATGAAATTAAGAGAAATAACATCATTACTAATAGCCGATGAAGAATGAACTTTGATCTGATAACTTGGGAACAAAACGTTCAGTACATAATTTTGGATAAGTTGAAATGTTGCTTTCTTAAATTATAATTAACATTGTTCTATATTAAAAGAAATAAACCCGTGGCTTTGTGTCAAAACAATGGGTTTATACTTTTTGGCCAGCTTTATCTGGTTCTAGAAATTCTAAATTGGGCACAGATGAGTGCTTCACAGAGTGTCTGAAATTTACATTCAGCTGAAATCAGTTAGGTCTTACATTTCATTGGTCCCAGTACCTGTCAATTATGTGACCTTAGGGGACATGTTGGTTATGCAACAGCCTGGACAGAGCCTTTATTCTTATACCACCCCTATGTAGGATGGATATCTAATGTTTAGCAACATACTTCATTAATTTACATCTAAACTTAGAAAAAATTCAATCAACTTGTTACAAATTGTGAAATGCTTCTTTGTTTAACCCCACAGGAGTCTATCAAGCGTCAGTTAGTTGACGTTGGCTTGTCTTACATATTATCTCAAGTTAGGCTGGTGATAATATTCTGGTTATTGCACAAAGCTCAGTCAAATACTGTACTGCTTCTAAATTTGAATACTTCTTCACAAGTTTCAGTCAGGTTCAAAAACAATCGTTGACAATTAATGTTCTTTAGTAATTCTGATGATTAAAACAAAATCGTAAATTATTATTGAAAAGACATTATAAATGTAGTTATCGTTGAGATGTCGACAGACGATTACAATAAATTAATAATGATGGCATAGAATCAATAGAATCAAGGTGAATTTAGATAGTTATAAGACTGTTGTGTTTATTTTAGTTATAAACTTACGTTTGGATGATTTTCATAACGTTCGTACGGATTTGTATTTTATTAAGACTACTGTATTATTAAGCATTATGATTATGATTATAATGTTGAAAACCGCATTGAAACCGCGTGATTTTTTTTGCCATTTTCGAGGGGGCGCAAAAACTCAAAACCATGGCACAAGCTCGTCATTGCGTCCCTCTCAATTTCAGCAGGCTCACAATGAGAGTATATATAATGTTTCACGATCTATTTGAAAGTATGCCATGGCCTCAAACACGTAAGAAAAATGAAAAGAAATGAATAAAATATATGAGAAATTCTAATGGTTTAACAATATTGCTAGATTTACCACACTGGTGTGGGTGTTATAGTGAAATCACAGTGTAAAGCCATATATTATTTCAAAGATTCAAAGTCCGAAACGAAAATGAATGAAACAATTTATGAAGTTATCTTGGAGGGAAAGACACATATAAATCAAGTAGAGACATGTTGTCAGATTCAGTAAAAATATGGTGTACATGGTTACACACCATTGGGTCATCAATTGATATGGTACTGAAACATAGTGCCATAAATCTATTGCCCACACTCCAATTGTTTCATAAACAACATGGGTCCACTGCTAAAGAAAATATCCCCGTGATATTAAAAGATACTAAAAGGCAACTAAGCACTGCAGATTGATATTCTTATCTCTTCAATTAGAAAAGTGTGATAAAAATTTCATCAGTGTGTGGCTCCCTCTAAATTTTAAACCACACTATGATATATAGTGATGTAATACATGACTACTCGCATTTCAAAGACCCCCATCAATGTGATATACAGCCCCCTGTATTAAAGCCTTGTTAACCAATTTACATTGATTCCTGTTAGCAATTTGAGTAAATTTTCAGGATATCTGACATAACTATTTCCCCTGATTAAAGGCCCCTGTCATTATTCAATGTTAAAATATGCATGAAGGTGTGAAACACTTCCTGAGTAATTAAATCAGCCATAATGACTTCATAGTGTTGTTTTATAACTATAGTTGTAGCAAAGTATTCTGACACATTTCTCAAACAAGCACTTTGTTCTGTTAAATTTATTATAAATTTAGCCAGAAAAGTTAGTAATAATGTGGGACCAAAGTTTTTGATCTGAATCATCATAAAACATTTAATGTCTGGGAATTTTAGATGATGTTTCCATTGACAAATCTTAACACAATATGGTAAAGTTACCTTAAACAGTTACGTTGGTTGTGAAACAACAATCTATGACTATGTTATCACATTTTCAATATAATGAATTTTGTATATCACATTCAAACTATGTATGTGGCAGATTTCTCTCAGATTTTCATACAATCTAATTTGAACACGCTTAGTGTATGGTGAATCATGAAAAAATTCAAAATTAATTCTCTTTAAATTACAATTGTTTCAAAGAGTATTAAAAAATCAGGCCTCAGATCAATATTTTGGGAGTGTTTTTTTGCATAAAAAGACAACTGCCCAATAAGGTACAAAAAATTTGTAAGTTTTGAGTAATACTACTACTGACACCCAACCATCTCATTTTAAAATCCTAATTTGACAAATATTTCAAATAAAAATGCCACTTTGAAACATTTTACACCATTTTTTTTTAGACATGGAGTATGTGTCAATTTGAAACCTAAACCTTGAACAATAGATAAAGAGAGAAGAAACATGGTGTCTATGATACACTGTCAAAGTCAACAGAAAAAAAAGAGATAAAGTCTTGAAGGTAATGACAATACCATCATAGGTAAACATTCCAACTAGAACCAGATCTAATTTTAACATGGCACATCTACTTCAAAACTATGCCAACTCTCCAAATCTAAAGAATTCTTACAAATAAGATCTGAAGATCAGCTCTTTCAAGAATATAAAATAAATAATTTAACATTAATGAAGTGTAATAATGAACCATAAAACTTTATTTTAAAAAATCTCTTTATTTCATTCCAGTTTAATTATAGTTTTTCTGATTTTTGGAGTGAAAAACCATTAAGCTAACAATAACATGTCAATGGCTATAAAACTAACAATATCATTTTTCATTAACATGTAAAACAAGTTGTAATATTTCTGCCAACATAATTTAGAAGAAAATAACCCAAACATAAACAGGATTAAATTGTTTCAAAGGCATTTAATAATTGAACTTGAAATACACAGGTCACAATTCTATAGAATACAATTACTGTTTATTACATTTTATATTTTATCAGTGCTAACGGGGGGGGCCTGGCATCAGCTCACTAACCAGAAGGTACAGGACTCTGTGTTGGCCATTGTCTGTGGTGCAGATGGAAGGCTTGGCATGGAAGACTATCTGATTAAAACACAGTTTTTGGTGTGAAGTGCATGGAACTGTGAGTAATCCACTTAAAACATCAATGCTGATTGGTTAATCAAATGTCTGATGTCATAGGGTCAAAAGTCGCTCGTATGACCTCTGACGCGACCTTCCACTACAACCGGTCAGAGTCTGGTTCTTAATCCATTTTGAAATGAACCGTCAGACCTTCATGTAGTAGAGGCCATTGAAAGTATAAAAAAACAAATCGAAATATAGATCTGTATTTTAACCAGACTGGCATGTAAGAGTGCCTAGTTGTTCAAATGGGATGGAAAACTGAGATCATGTGTACACATAGGCGTGCCGGTAAAAGAAAACTTGACAGATGGAATTCGAAATACATGTTAAGAGTCATTTAAATGAGACGAAAAATGAGGTCGTGTGTGAAAGAATCCTAAACAGATGGAATTTAAAATTAGAGTAGGCCAAAGCGCTGCTAACCAGGCAAAATTTCCTTCATAGCACACTGCATGGTGTTTGCCTGTCTTCATTAGACCGGTTGGTGTAGAACAGTAGGATGTTAAACCACATTTCATTTCATTTCATTTCACATATTAACAAACCGCAACAACAAGTTAAAATACACCACAAATAAACTATGTAGCACCAATATATCAGCAAATATCACTAATGATTTGTAACCATTATCATAACTTTCACACAGTCAGTTTATCTTGTGTCTTAAGATACTGAACCAAATGATGAAATCGTAATCAATATATTATTTCTGTCTAGAAGCACGGAACTTGGAAACTGGACGTTTATTTGTTTCTGTTGTTTGAATCATAGGTGTTGGACATTTGACTTTAGGTAAAGTTTCAGCTGATTTTTCTAATATTGTTCCAGTAAAAGCCTAAAAATAATGGAAACAGAAAAACATAGTATGAGTACCAGGTAGATATTGAAAACATATAACTGTATAACTTTCTTACAGAGTCCTGTTAATCTTTATCATAATGATTATTTAATAAATTTGAAATAGGGCCTTGGCCTCAATATTACAATGTAATTATCAAATGAATGACTTTTTGTTAAAAGTAGCCCTACAATGCTCTTTATATGCACCTTGAAAACAGCCTGGAATCTGGTAATCTATTGCTAGACCAGCTTCAGTAAGAAAATATTCTAACTATAATTTACTAAAGTTAAACGAGCTGCTACCTGTTATCCATGAGACTTTTAGTAAATTTTTTTTGTTTAGAGAATAAAGGAGCCATTTCAGATCAATTTTTTAATGAATCAAACCGCATAATTCTGGTGTTACTTCTGTACAGAAATTCAAACTTTCAGTTTCTATATGTTATAAATACCCAAATGTCACGATCTCACAAGTGCCTAGATAGTCATGTCTACATATGTGGCTATGTTATAGTTGTAAGTGGTTGTTGATATTACCAAGCCACTCATAAAACTTAACAATGGAATTCCAAGTCCTTTAGGGCTGCTGTAATAATCAAACATTTTTGTTCCAACCCCCCCCCCCCCCCCAAAACTTAATGGCCTTATTTCTGTTGCAGTTTACTACTAAATGGAGCATCAGAATAGGTCATTGCCCTGTGTTGATACATACTATAAAGAATGACATATTATATTTTTGTATCAAGAACTTACGGTATCAGACATTTTTTTGATAGATGCTCTGTTTCTGGTTTCTTCTATTTCAGCTTCTCTAGCTTTACGTACAGACTGTTTCTTTTCTTTCTTTAAAATAGATTTAGGTTGAGTCAGGTGACCAAAATATTTATAAACATCAGATGGACTGGTTATATTTTCAGGTGTACTCTCATTACATTCTTCACTACTTTCTGATTTATTCTAAAAATAAGAATGGAAATGGGTTACAAATCAATCTAATACAATCTAACTAATTCCTATATCTAATAGTTAGTGACAGTGGTACATCAAGCTGTATTGGTTATACTTTAAAGATACATTATGGGAGATAAGATAAAGAGATGGCAGTTCTCGCTATAATAGTTAAAAACTAGATAGTGTAAAGGTAATTTGCTGAAAATTTCAGTCAAATTGATCCACTATGAGCCGAGAACGAAGCGGGAGAAATTTTCGCATAGTCTCGGTCATCATTACTAAAATCATTAATATAAACAGCATAGTCTCGATTATCCACTGTTTTGATTTAATTATCAATGGCCGTTAAGCGGCATATAGGAATCTAATCCAGCCAACATCGAAGGCTAGCCTCGACATCAAGAGTTTTTATTATGGTCTGGATAAGTTAATTAATGTCTAATTGATAATTTAGATAACATTTCAGGCCTAACGAAAGACTTGTAATAAGCAGATTTTGCTCTTGCATAATGCATGTTTAATAAAGCACAAAAGTGTCATAGGCTACTCATTTAAAACATAAGCAATTGAAACCCTTTAAGATTTGCAAAATTACATGTTTTAAATCTGAATCTATAAATGAATGAATACTGCATAAATCCATAAAATTTCAAATAACTGTTCCAAAATAGGATATTTTTGTGGCTGGGAGTTGACCCCCTTCAAAATATACCTACCCGACATTAGACTGCTGTTCCAATCTTCCATAATATAATGCTTACAAAATGAAACTAATGCTTGTCATACTCATACACATATTAGTTTTTCTTCTTTGGGATTAGACACAGTCAAAAACAGTAAGCAATTAACAAATTATCAAACCAAATGAATGCACCAGTAAGTACCCGGAAGTCATAAACATCCACCAAATTAATATGAAATTTCAGTATAAAAGAATATTTTATAAAAGAATATAGAATATGTTATAAAGGAATATGTGGATAAGAATATGATATAAAAGAGAACATACCTGTACAGGTGTATGAGTAAAGGTAATACGGTTTGTACAACAGGTACTGACTATATCATTATCATCTGATTGTTCATCATAACTATCATCAGATTCATTATCCTGCCATTGTATATGTTTTTTACTAGTTTGTGTATTGGTTGATTCATCTAACATTGGTTGAGTTTGTAAAAAACTTGGTACTGATGGCACTTCCTCCACCCTCAATCTGAAAAGTTATCAAACAATCTGTCAATCATACAATTTGAAACCCAAATTCTTTTTTAATTTTTGTAAAAATTCATCTGTCTATAATATTTCAGGTGTTTTCTAATTTAAATATCATGCTCCTTTTTTTTCTTTTCATGATTGAGTGTTTTCTAATCTTGATCTCAAGTTGTGTGTTTTCTATGTTTATCTTTGTATATTTGTGTTCCATAGTTCAAGGGGGGGGGGGGGGGGATGACCGAATGGTTAGCACGAGCGCTCGGTATCATACGGTCTGTCATTGAGTCAACTGGCGGGGTTTCGATGTCCCGGTTGTATGCGACAAGGATTAGGGTCGCCTGTCCAACCTCGTGGGTTTTCTCCGGGTTCTCCGGTTTCCTCCCACAGCTACAGACCCCTACGTGCAAGCGAATTATGGAAATAAAATTGAACCATATGTTAGTCCCGAAATGACCTAGTTTGTGTCGAGTGGATGTTCATGCTGAGTATCAAAGTTGTGTGTTTGTTTTTAATAGGTTTATTTATGTTGAGTATTTTGTAAACTTGAATCTAGATTTCAAGTTGTGTTATTTCTATATTTTTTTTAATTTTGTTCAGTATTTTGTAATCTTGTTTTTTCAGTTGGGAGAAAAAGAGAGAATTGGGAGGAAATCAGAAAACCTGGAAAATCTCACAAGGTAAAGCAGGTGACCCTAAACCAATCTGATTAAAATACAGATCTATATTTCGTTTTGATTTTTTAAACTTTCCATGGCCTACACTACATGAAGATCTGACTAGTTTTAGTGGAAGGTCGTTTTAGAAGGTCATACAAGCGACTTTTGACCCTACGACGTCAAGACATTTGATTGACCAATCAGCGTTGATGTTTCTAGTAGGATACCCACATTTTCGTACATCGCATGCCAAGAACTCGCTGTAACAGACCGTTTCATTGGCTAATCACTCACATCAGCCAGACTGCGGGTTATATAACGACTCTTCCAGACCCTAGTGTAGTAAAGACAAGTAAAACAAGATTTTTAACCATAAAAAAGAAAACGAAATAGGATCTGTGTTTTAATTAGATTGACCTTAAACATGGACACATAGTAATGAAGAGTTGAAATCACAATTTCCATAAATGACACAGACTTTTACATATTGTCATCTAAACAAAATATTCTCTTACAAAATAAATAAGTTTACAATTAATATTTCATTTGTCTTGATATTTAATGAAGATCAAAACAAATCAAAATCAAACAGACACAAACCTCTGTAATTCTTTTCCTTTTGTTTCAATTTCTTCTAATTCATCTAATCTAGCCCACAATTCTTCATCTGTTAACACCTTCTTTTTTTCATTCTTTGCTTCTATTTTCTCTCTTTCTAATTTTTCTTTCTTTTTTTGCAGTTGCACGTTTTTTCGATGTTTTTCTGAAATAAAATAAAGCTGCAGTCTTTTCTCAATCTGATCATTGCCATAAAAAGATATTTCATATAATACATTTTGAGTTAACTATTAATATTATTGTTACAAACCTTTCCAAATTCTTTCTTCCTCAGAATCATAATTTTCTACTATTTCTCTTACACCATCTTTTTCCTGAAAATAAAAACAAACTATTGAATCCAGAACTGATGTTTGATACAGGTCATTCTTGAATAAACTCTGCAATATTGTAAAGCATAACATTGTCAGCCAACAAACACACACTCACTAGCAGCCTTTTGAAGGAAGTTTTCAGGGGCAATAACTATGCCTAACACTGCGACAAATTGTTATGTGACTGAATTTCAAAATGACCTGTAGAGTATTTTCAAATATTGTAGACTGACCTATGAACCATAAAAAGGTGGATGTATATGAAAATCAGTCACAATATATGTGATGTGAATGGATATACAGATCTGGGTGATGAGATATATATTTTATGTACTATTCATATAACTTGATACTTGTACCTGTTGGTCAACAGGTTACTCTTATGAACAGAGCATAACCCTTACGTAATTAAATATAGATTTGAGTAAGATTTTGTCTTATAATTTGGGTACAGAAATGTTTGTCCGGGTAAAGTTGCCCCTGAAGATATATTCCATCAGGCATTAATTTCTTCCCTTACAGTATCTACTATCTAGATTGTGATATTTAGTGATGTCTAAATGTTTATAATAAACATGACTGTATACTTACTTGAGATATATTTTGGAGTTCAGATGTAACATCTACTCTAGGTTGTAAAAGTTTTTTCTGCTCATTTAAATCATGTATAGATTTATCAATGGCTAGAAATATAAATATAGACTATTATAGTAAATAAATTCACCATATTCACAAATATAATTTAAAGACCTTTCAATTTCAAATGGGACAAATTATTCCAGTAGACAGTATGGCTTTATTCTTCACCAAATTTTTATGTCAAATGCTGTGCAATTTTAACCATATTAATATATGTTTGTTTGCATCAGAGGGATGTCCACTTTGGGGTGATTATTTCATACTCCAAGAATATGATATGATAAAGTTATACTAACTTGTTAATCGTCTACCAGCTATTTCAGCAGCTTGTTTAGATGATCTTTCAACAAACCAATTATCACCTAATAATACCATTATTTCATTAGTATGAACTATCTTTCCTGGCATAAAAGCACATGGACCAAATGGTACCTGAAATGTTTTACCAAATAGATAAATTGATTGATTTATCATGTGCAAATGTACAACAAAACAGTTGCATAAAACGGATAGTAGAAATATTATTCCTTTATTTGTGTAAGACACATAACAATGGTGGGGTGTGATCAATAAAAACTGATGTAAACTTTAAATGGCAAGTTAAAGATTAGTTTAAATAGTTTCTTTTACCAAACCGTTTTTTAATAAAAAGTACTTTGATTATGTATGACATCTGAATTTAAACCTGGAAAGGAAAAGTCTCTAGTCATTCAGATGGGACGAAAAACAAAGCCCAGTATATACCATTGGCAGTATCATTAGCCCAATTGGTGCAGAAATGTAGGACTTAAACCTAATTTCATTTAAAAAAATGTAAGTGATAAAATCAAACTGACATACAAAAAGACAACATCATGATTGTTAGGTAAAAGTTATTTCAAAGGCCCTAAAAAACATAAGACTCTTCTAAGATCTGACCAAGGGGATCAAGAGAAGTAAAGTTTTGATATGTCCAATTATGTAGGCCTATGTCTCCAGATGTTGAAGTCTTATCTGTTCTAATCTACATGTCATAACATGACATAAACATGTTCTTTAACTACTTAATGGGTAATGGATTATTTTGAAAACCGTTCAATGAAATCTATGATTAGAGAGGAGTTAAGAAAACATTAAATTGTAGGTTGTTTGTAGGTAGAGACAGATGTTAATATAATATAACAGAGAGGTAAGTATGTCTTATCTATACCAGGATCAATACGGTTCTATCAAACATGTCAAACATCTATTAATTAATCTTACAAAATAAATATATAGTAACTGGGGGTGACAGTGATAATTAAATGGAGACGTCTGATCAAACACACACTCGAGTTACCCAACTTGTTTTCACTTTAAAAATCAAAAACCCAGAAATATATTAAAACAAAAGGGATTTAAGGGTAGGAATTTGAATAAGAACCCTTTCTTAATATAGTCTGGATGTGAAAGTAAAACATTTACGTCTGCTCAAACATGTATACACAGGGTTAAGCCTACCAACCATGATCTTACTTCAAAAGTCAAAACCCCAGAAAGACATTTAAAACAATAGGGATTTTAGGGTAGGAACCTATTCTCAATAACATCTGGCCATGTAAGTAAAACATTAATGATTTGAAGAAGTTTGTGAAGTCATTTAATGTCAACAACATGTTTGTGAAATGACAAAAAAGGTATAAATTACAGTTTACTGAGTTTAGTATAGATAACCCCAGGCTATTACAATAACACCTACAATACTTGCTTTGAAATCTTCATGCATGGGATATCTTACAAGTGGCCTTGGGTAATGTATCGATATGTCAGTTAACGAAAAAATACCCTGATAAAAAAGTAAACTTTAAAACTTGTGAATGGATCACACAATGAAAGAATATTTCAAGATAAATAAATTCAGATAAATTCTTCATTTGATTGTTCTATAAAAGATTTTCTTATAATATATAGCCACCGGCTCATATTTTAACAATGAAATAATCAATCATTCATAAAGCAGAATGCATTCACATCGAAAATGGGGGAAATTCTAGTCAATTATGTATAAATATAATGTAATGTATTTGATAAATTTGTCAAAAAATTCATGAATAACTAATAAATCCAAGTCAAAATATGATTATTGATTTTGTATAGATTCTATAAATATTTAATACATGGAACATGTCAATATAGAACTCATGTCATGATACCCTATATCCCAATCTTAATATCATTATTTAATAATATGCATCATCACTTCAACTACCCAACAAAACACAAAACCGGAGAATGAATAATACCACAATATGTCACTTAAAATAAAATGTCAAGTTAATGACTTTTAAGCGAACTTGCCACTTAATAATATCTGAGACATTATCAGATGAAGCAAGTAGGAACAGGTATCAGGTGTAAGCATAGTATATACTGCTTCATGCATGGCACCTAGCAACTTTTAACTATGTGGTTAAATTTAGAATGTATAATACAGTAACTTATGCATTAAATGTTTTCAACACCATCTAGCATACGATTTTCTTTGTATTTTATTTAGTTATATGTGAGTTTCATTCCACCCAAGACACCACTACAAACTTATATGCTAAAATGAATTATTTGAAGAAAATAATCATAGCTGGGTGGAAATTCTTTCTCTCTCTTTCTTGAAATAATCTAATGGAACTGCCCACTCCAATGACTATTTAAATAATCATTTAGTTTTTATTTTCCTTTTTATCTGTATCAACAATGGAATATATGTGTATGAGATCTTCAAGCTAACCTAAACAGTATTAATCTCTGTACAAAATATATGTTTCCAAAAACTACTTTTATTGAGTTAAATTCTGTGTAGAGGTTTGTGTAACAAGTAGGAATTGATGTGGAACACCAATCCCTGATGAATCAGTTATTGTGGAATATTATACTATACTTATGCCATGTTGGTCTGCATGTCATCATGTCAAAAAAAAACCATTAATAGATAAAGTAGGTAACCACCAGGACATGACACTAATCAAAATCATCAAAATACTAATGTTATTTAACATATGTACTTTTCTACCAGATGCTGTCATTTTATTCTAATTCAAAATTCCTGCAGAGAATTTAATTTTACTATTTTTCACAAATTGTTATGAATTATCCAATGTGTAGTTTTGGTGTATATTTTTGCCATGAAAATCAAAATGGCAGAAACAAACAATTTGAGCAGATGTCTTGTCAATCATGTCTAAAATTTTTAAGAAAAATAAACCAAAAACTAAAGAAAGGTTCTACAGCAAATAAATATTTACAATAAATTATCATTTGAACTGACTTACTAACTTAATACAATACATATAAATAACACAGGCTACATGCATTCTATAAGTTCCCCCCTTCAATGAAACCTTCTTTCAAAAGAACATTTTTTTATTCACTGTGTGAAGCTGATGTACTAATCAGGAGAGAAAGGGCTATGGACACTTTAAGTCCCATAGGTGTGTATGTCAAAACGCTAATCCTTATTATCAGAGCAGAAAGAAACTAGCACAGAAAAAAATAGCCTTGATGTTATTGTGTGTCTGCTGGGCTAATGGTAGGTTAAATATACGGCCAAGACAAAGCCAGAAGTTTTGGTCCAAGGATTTTCTTGTGACCATTATTACAACTTCCTGACCATTGTCCACTATGTTTCTGTCTGGTTATAAAACTAACACCTATGTACGGGAAACGATATAGGGTCATGGCCTGACAAGGGGTTGGATTGGGTGGGGGGGAAATGATGAGATGAGTGCCCCAGGCAGAAGAAAGCAACATAGAGTAAAAAAACCTACTTAATCACATATTATGACGTAAGATAATTGAAACCTTCCGTAACCAGATTGACAAGATTCAATAGAAGAAAAGTAATTTAGATTTTTTTGAAAAACCATGAAAAGTCAAGAAAGAAGTCATTTGGGATGTTTGGAATGATGTAACTATTTAGATGATCATTGAACTGCTATGTTTAAGATCACTAGAGCTAGACAGAAACTAGTATTTTTGATAGGAAGGAGGGCAAGCACTTACCATTATATCATGGGATGTTTTATGTGACAGGGAGTTAAGCCTATCCTGCAGGGCTTTGTAATTGGACTTCATCTCCTCCCTGCAATAAGATAAGATGCAAGTAAAGGTAAAAATCTACAATGTCGTAATCGACCATAATAGATCACCTGCAATAAAACACTTTCAAGAAAATTCAAGAAATCAGAACCATTGGCAGGCTGTTTTTGAAAAGCCATTAATGATGTAATAGCAACCACCTGCCTATAATTCTGGTACTAATTGAATGAGATTTTAAATGCTTGATCAACAGGATCTAGATAAAATCTTATTGCAAACACCATTTACCCATTCTTCCGTCTTTAATTCAAGTAGTAACTTTTAAATCCCCCCAATAATAAAACAGACTTAACCAGCTTTTTCAGTTTTAATGCATACTGGGGTTGCCTCATTTTATCTTCTTTAGGTAACAATGCATTCTTAGACAATGACTTTCAGATAAGTCTAATTCCAAATTGATACAAGAATACAAACCATTACAGTTGAAAGACATATAATATGACTTTCAAATTGTGGCTGTTCCTTTAATGATGAAAGAATTGCTCAAAAAGTCAAGGTAATGCGAATATGCAAAACTAATGTTAGATCACTTTGTCTCAGAACTGTCCAAATAGTATGCCCAATTCAAAGGTATCTTTTGAATTTTCCTAAGGTATCTTTAAAATGATTCATTGTTACGGACTATAATTCTGTGTTTTGTTATTTGTAAAATAGATTGTAAAAGAGTAAATGGAATCATGTTTTAAGTGTTACATCAATGAATCTTTTGATCATGACACAGGTGACAATAGTTGTACAAGTATTGCATTTGTCTTCCATTATGATATCTGCTTCTATTGACCTATGACTGGCCTAATTTTGATTAATGACCCATTGCATCTGAAAAATAATCCAGTAATTTTTGGGGGGTGTGAAAGGATTCTGTTGACTTGTTTGACCACAACACATTAGGAGATATGGCATTCATCACCATCAAACTATTGTCTTTTAAACTCAACGCAGTTGTAATGATCTTTAGCAGACATCGAAAGATTAATCAAGCAGCATCCTCAACTTGAATAATATTTCTTGTTGTTTGATGATGGACATTTATAATTATTAACACTTGATGTGTTGTCAAACATTTATCTTACTCCTGTTTAAAAACCTGTTCGAAAGTCTTTATGGTTGTTTAATGATCTCATTAAGTTTTTTTTTTTTAAATAAATAATTCTGAAAAGTGTGATGGATTTTTAATTTCAAAGCCATTTTGAAATTATGTTTATCCAGAACTGATATATTTGTATTCAAATCTACAAAACCATCACTTCCCTATATTTTGCTTTTACTAACAGATTTGGATTAATGTTTATTTCAAATGTATTTATGGATATATTTGAATAAAGGAATAATGGTGATGAAATTCTCTTTAACAGTTTGCCAGTTAGCATACCATAGCATGACTGAACCCAGAAGCAGTTTTCATTAATGAAGACCCACAAAAAGCCTCCAAATTCAAATGTCTTATAAGTTGTTTTACAAATTCAGTACTAAATCATCAGATTTTAATTTAGGTTAACTAAAACTGCAGCAGTGAGAAGGTTTGTGTAAATTAATGTGGCAATTTATGGTCCATAATGCACTTGGATCCCCCAAAGTGACATTGGACATTGAAAACATATATTGTAAAAAGGGCAGGGGGCACCCAATGTCTCACAGCCCCCATGATAGTCATCAGTCATGTCTCAGACTTAATTTTACCAGGGATAATAAAATACTTCAGTAAAAGAGTTAGAAATTTAAGTACTGGTAACTTTAATTACAGCTTTGATCCTCTTTATGGAAGCTAAAGTAGGTCTTTGGGCCAGAACCAGTTAATGTTTTATTTTATATAACTTAAGCACTACAGGGTGCATGTAAGATTGGACTAACCATTGTGCTATTCTCTGATCTGTCTCTAGGATAGCCTTGTCTTGTTCTTCACGAAGGCGGGCTAAGTGGGCAGCTTCCATGCTGTGTCACTTCAAAGGCAGATCAATCAATGTTTGAACCTGTAAAACACAATATCTCACTTTAAAAAACTGCAACCCAGTCTTCTATTAGACAAGCTCTTTAATACAGAAAATAATGTATTGCAGGTCCTTTAAAAAAACCCTCCAATACCACATTCAATGTTTTACATTGAGATATGGTTAAATTTTACTACCGCTACTGGTTGAGAATCACTAAATTAATATACAAGTGGAGAATTGAAATCAAGCCACCTTATGATCTAACAATGTTAGATTCTAACATGCATGTGTTAAACCATTCGGCCATCTAACCCCGCAGAGAGAGAGAGAGAGGTGTTAACATTTACAAAATATGAACCAGGTCATTTTGAGACTACCTCATGATTTTATTTGTAATTCAATAATGAAAAAAAAGTAACTGTGTGATTTGCATTCTGTCAACAAATATCAAATTTATCACTGCCTAATCCATAGTAAATCAAAAAAATCAATTATCAATGCTAGATAATCTCCCAGCTTGAGATCAATCGGCTTAAAAACAAGTCCATCAATTAGACTTATCAATCATGTTAAGGGTGGAGGGTGTGTCATAATATCGTGATGTCATCCGACAATAAACAGACTTGTAATTCTACTTGATATTCCTATTAAAAATTCATCTTTTACAATATTGTAGTTTGCAAGAGATTTATATATTTCTAATATCAGGTTCAGTGGCTTTATAGCATCAGTGCATCATTTGAATATTTTGGAAAATATCAAATTTACCACCACTTACTTATTTGACACTAAAATAAATTATTCAACATTTAGTTCAGAAATATTATCAAGAGCAAATAATCTCCCAGCTTTGATTCAATCAGATTAAAAAGAGGTCCTTCAAAAGACTTGTGCAAAAACTTAAAGATGGTGCCGTCTTGTTTAAAAGGGTCATAGAAAAGCTGCCTTAAACCAAACAGCCCCAACGTTTGGTCAAAACTGACATTTAACTATTGGTTAAAATGACCATAGATTGGTCATTATGGCCATAAACAGATCAGAACAATAAACATGATATTTATTATTTAAGAAGAATCCAGAAAGAGCTGGTAATATATATTTTAAAAAATTTTGGTTTTTGACTACGGTGAATTTTGGCTGTTTTGGTTTATGTCCATTTTGACCATTTCCAGTTTTTGTCATCTGCAGATGATGCCAAATGTTGTGAAAGTTTTCAATTCATGATATCTTTGTAAATATTGAACAGAATTGAACTATTTTTGGACTGATTTTCCATTTAGAGATAAAACTTTCACAATATTTCACAAGCGATTAACAACCCCTTAAATGACAATCAGCTCTTTATTTTCCTTTAACCAATAAAAGCTACGGTATTTAAATACCCAACCAGCGGCTGCCAGGCAGGATAGATAGAAAACAAGATTAAACGAAAGTGATTTTTCCTACAAGGGCCATAATTCAGGAAATTACAATTCGATATGCGCAAATATCGAAAGGAACCGAGATCTTTGGGTTATAAACTTACATTTCAAGTTTCAACAAAATCGGATAAAAATTGTGACTTCTATAGGGTCCACAACCTTGATATACCATATTTTTACACAATTTGAGAACGAATGACGTCCATTTTGTCTGTCAGTTTTGGGCCGATTTTCACGAAATTTGAACTCAGCCATACTTAGGGTGTAACAGTGATATAATAATATGTTTTTTTAAATCGGATAAAAATTATTACCTCTATAGGGTCCACAAGCTAAAAACACGATTTTTCGAACAATCAGGGGCTATAATTCAGGAAGTTACGGTCCAATATGCGCGAATATCGAAAGGAACCCAGATCTTTGGGTTATAAACTTACATTTCAAGTTTCAACAAAATCGAAGTTACGGTCCGATATGCGGGAATATCGAAAAGAACTGAGATCTTTGGGTTATAAACTTACATTTCAAGTTTCAACAAAATCGGATAAAAATTGTGACCTCTATAGGGTCCACAACCTTGATATACCATATTCTTACGCTATTTGAGAACGAACGGCGGCCATTTTGTCTGTCAATTTTGGGCCGATTTTCACGAAATTCGAACTCACTCGTCCTTAGGGTGTAACGGGGATATAATAGTACGGGTTTTTAAATCGGATAAAAATTATGACTTGTATAGGGTCCACAAGCTAAAAACAAGATTTTTCCGTACAATCAGGGGCCATAATTCAGGAAGTTATGGTCCGATATGCGCGAATATCGAAAGGAACTGAAATCTTTGGGTTATAAACTTACATTTCAAGTTTCAACAAAATCGGATAAAAATTGTGACCTCTATAGGGTCCACAACCTTGATATACCATATTCTTACGCTATTTGAGAACGAACGGCGGCCATTTTGTCTGTCAATTTTGGGCCGATTTTCACGAAATTCGAACTTACTCGTCCTTAGGGTGTAACGGGGATATAATAGTACGGGTTTTTAAATCGGATAAAAATTATGACTTCTATAGGGTCCACAAGCTAAAAACGCGATTTTTCGTGCAATCAGGGGCCATAATTCAGGAAATTATGGTCCGATATACGCGAATATCGAAAGGAACCGAGATCTTTGGGTTATAAACTTACATTTCAAGTTTCAACAAAATCGGATAAAAATTGTGACCTCTATAGGGTCCACAAGCTAAAAACGTGATTTTTCGTACAAACAGGGGCCATAATCCATGAAGTTTCGATCCGATACATGCCAATATCGAAAGCAGCCGAGATCTTTTGGAGATAAACCTATATTTCAAGTTTCGTCAAAATCGGATAAGAATTGTGACCTCTAGAGTGTCCACAAACAAATTGTGGACGGACGGACGGACGGACGGACAGGGGCGACGGCATAATACGTCCACATGAAAATGTGGGCGTATAAAAATAGATTATGTAAAGGGAATTTGCAGAAAATTTCAAATTGATCCACTCTGAACAGAGAATTTAGCGATTGAATTTTGGGCCTAGCGTCGATCATCATTACTAAAGTCAGTACTATAAAAAACATAGTCTTGATTATCCATTTCTTTATTTAATTATGAATGAGCATTAAGCAGCAGATCGGATCCTAATCCAATAAATATCACAGGTTAGCAATGACATCGAGCGTTGGTTATGGTCTGGATAAGTTAATTAACGTCTAATTAATAATTAAAATAACATTTCAGGCCTAAAGAAAGAACTGCAATAGGCAGATTTAGCTCTTGCATAATGTATGTTTAATATAAAATGATTATACTAAGTTTAATTAAGATTTTGTTTCTTAGTCCAATATATAAAATTTTGTGTACACCATACTGACAAAGTGGTAAAGACACTTGAATTCACATGAAAATGAATGTAATTTGCAAAGTTTTTGTCTATTATTTTGAATTGGAATCCCTGGTTCAGATCCTTTAAAGGTCAATTATACGAGTGGGAAGAAACCCTACTACCTTGTCATGTAACCCACAAAACTGGGATCAAAACCATTATAAGCATTATAGTTACCAGGTCTTGGACTAATAGTCCATTTAAACATTCAACTTTCGCAAATATGGTTAAACTTAAAAAACCCTCAAATGACAATCAGGGACTTTTAAGTGTCACTTATGTGGAAGGAAACTGAAGAAACCCCATGACATAAGACGGGCGACCCTATACTTACTCCTTGTCACGTACAAGTGTTGGATCAAACCCATGACAAGCATAACAGGACTGATCATCTACACCATGACGCGCATTAGATCACTTGGCCACCCAACACCTCCGTCATCATGCGATCATGATATATGCATGGATGGATAAGTGTTTTATGTACAGGTTAGATAGAACAATAAGATCAGAACACATTTATTTCTGCAAATTTCTTTTTTATATGCTCAATCATATGGTTTTTCAATGTGCTACACTATGGTACGGTACTTAGAAACCAGTTTGGTCAGTTTGGGTGCCTTAAAGGAGCAAAATCGCCAATATTTGGGACCTAGAAATTGACACAAATGGGTCGCAACTCATATAATAATGTACTACTAATATGAATGTATATAAACTGGTTTACATTCAATCGTTCTGATTTCTACTTTAATTTCAAAGCAGTAATGTTCGTCGAAATATGCCAGACGTCTCAATCGAATGGCATTCTCTAGCGTCTGGTTATTCAAGTCTACACCGATAGTATTTATTGCGTATGCTCTCCAGATAATTGATAAAAAATATGGTGTCACCGTTTGACATGACTTGTGAAATATGTCTAGCCTTGTTCCAATCTGTTTCACAGAGGATTACGAAAGTCTTCTAATATCTCTGTAAAAGATGACTACCTTCAACACGTGACCTCTCATCATGCGGCATCAATCATTGGCTCAATGGTGCGTGCATTGTTTACATAAGAGGTTACTGGTTCGGGCAGAATGGTGTCTTTTACTCATTTTAAAACCCATTTACACTAAATAGGAAATAATTTTTACCTACAAATACGTCAAACGATTTGTGTACTAATGGTAAAATGTTTATTTTGTCTTACATATTGGATATCAGAAGCCCATCTTTTCCCAGTAAGATCACAACACCAATGTTGATTTAAATTGACAAATAATTCGTGTTTTCAATGCAGCAATGTCGAAGACTTACTTTGGAGATATTATATTGAGTTAGACTCTAGGGGCTTAGCAAATTTTTCAAGGGAAAAAAAGGATATAAATAAAAGTAACCTGGGGTTATGTTATGCCTCAAATCTTACAGATTTGTGTTTGAGGATAGGAGTAGGTTTATTTTAGAAAATAAGAAAACCATCTCTAACAACTACTTTCACTTACCACTTTAATCTGGTAGTTGAAGGTAGGTTACTCTGTTTTGGTTCTTAATTTTTGTGTAAGATCTCCCAGACTTAAATGTGACGTATTGCACAGATAACAGTGACGTTTCATACATTGTGCCATGCTTGTTTTGTAATTTTCTTAGAAAACCTCAGGAAAATAACGTTATTGAATTATCACATAGTTATAAATCACAAATAAAAAATGGCTGTCCGTGCCCAGTTTGAGGGAAATAATGAAATCGGTGTCTTTTCAAAGCTAACAAACGCCTATTGTTTGGTTGCAATTGGCGGATCAGAAAATTTTTACAGGTACTGAAAATGAAATGTTGCACGTGTTCCAGTGTTGACGAATTCAAGTTTTATTTACATTTTAGAAGACTGTGACTAAATCAAACGAATTAATATATATAAAAAAAAGAATACGTTGATATAAATCAATCTCTCTTTCAAGGGTTAAGTTCAGCCGACTACAGTGTAAAATGACACTATTTATATGATGAGTGAATCAGACCTACAATAATTCAACAGGCCTAATCTACTAATGGAAGATCAATATTGCGAATGCATAAAATGATGATAAAAAAAAAAAATGTCCAATTAATAGTCTCTTTAGCTAAACTAAAGATCCCTACAATTTGATTAATCCTTAGAATATATGTAATGTTTTATTATGGAACAGTATAGCCTACATTTAAGATTATGATATGACACTTCTATTTCATGTTGTTGTGCAATTCTTATTAGGCCTATATATAGGTTTCCATTTCACAATGTGGTAAAATTATTTTATTCTTTTCTGTGCATATATAAAGGACTAACTTATAATCATAAGACGTATTGTGGCTATGGCACTGCGTTTACATTTTAACGGATCAGCAGAGATTGGTAACTTTGCTAAATTAACCAATGCTTTCTGTCTTATTGGAATAGGTAGTTCAGAAAATTTCCATAGGTATGCCAACATTATAATTTAAATTGAATTCTTTTAGATAGCAGACTCAGGCTTCATTAATTATAATAGAGGCTTTATATTATCATATTGCTTATTATTATATTGACATAATGATACATGACAGCTTCTATTAGTATGTGTCAGAAGGTTTTGACAAACTTAGACATTCATGTATCTATAATGTAGCAGCTTAATACTACTATACTCTTTTTGTAATATTTATTAATTTGATGATAATTAAATATGATGTTATTTTCAGTATATTTGAGGGTGAATTGGGTGAAACTATACCAGTAGTGCATGCCAGTATAGCAGGATGTCGTATCATAGGTCGTCTCACAGTTGGTAAGCAAGACACCCTTTTCTTTAATTTTTTTGGTCAGTGAAATTTATTCATGAAGTCTCTGAACGTCATTTGAGGGATTGAGTAAACCGTTTCAAATTAGAATATTATGAAAGTTGATTCTGTAAAAGAAATACAGTCCACAAACAGTTCAATTCCGTACAGTATTTACAAAGATGTGAATGAAATGAAAATTTGTCAACATTCGGAATTCACTGCAGAGAATACAAGATATGTTCACCTATAATCTTCACGAAAATCTTTTGATGAGCCTCTTTTGAATCCTATTAAGTCCAAGCCGGGATCTACTGGTGATATTTTGATTTTATTTTCTTGATTAAATTTTAAACAATTAATCTAAGTACATATTACCATGGATTAAGCAGATCGAAATCTGATATCCGAAAAAATGCAAATGATGCAGAGACTTAAACATGCATTATGCAAGAGCTAAATCTGATTATTGCAAGTCTTAATTTAGGCTTCAGACGTTATAGAAATTATAAATTAGATCTTTATTTAAACAAGACCCAAATCAACTCTGTAGACTCACAGATGGCTCGGCTACAGCTCGGATTTAAATAGGATTTCACTAACCTGATGAAAATACGTCAGTTAGATCGAGGCTAAATGATAGAGTGTACTTAGCGAGGCCGCTATAAAGCGTTTCCGTATGCCATTGAAAACTTTACTTGATAATCGAGATATGTAGGTGGAGTTAACGCCTGTCAATCAAACGATCGACGAAGGTGAAGACACATTTCGCTACCATTTCTAGGCAAATATTACAACGATGATAACTATGTTCAGAATAAAGTAATTTGAATGAATTTTTCAATATATTCTTCTTTCATCATCTACTTTTGAACTGTTATAGCAAGAATGTCCAACTCTCTATAAAAATCTCCCATAATGTATCTTTAATATAAAATTACATATGATAAGTGTTGTCAGGGCTATTGAGAAAAACTATGTATTTATTGTGTTTGGTAGAGAACATGGACAACTGGCTATTTTCAGTAAGGAAAGCACCATTATAACAGATTTGACAAACTACCTATTTTAATTTTACAGGAAACCGCAATGGTCTCTTAGTACCAAACACAACCACAGATCAAGAATTACAACACATACGAAATTCCTTACCTGATTCTGTTAAAGTTCAGAGAGTAGAGGAAAGATTATCTGCCCTTGGAAATGTGATAGCCTGTAATGATTATGTTGCTCTTGTTCACCCAGATTTAGACAGAGTAAGATAAATCCTTTTGTTTCTTTATAATTCTTCTATGCGTGAGATTTGTGAATGAGATGTCTGTACTGTTTCAGTGGAATAAATCATTATTAGTTTTTTTTTGGAAGACTGAGATTTGGTTTTATGATCTTACAATTTCAGATTATCTTCAGTCTTTATCATTGATTGAGCAAAACATACAGAATTCACCAATGACAGATTCACAGATTTGTTCTTGCATCTGTTCAGGCCCGTGAATTTGGCCAACTTAAAAAATGTTTGTCCTTGTGAAAGTTGTACATGTTGGTTGTGTTATTTTTTTTTTAGGAAACAGAAGAGATAATTGCTGATGTTTTAAAAGTGGAAGTGTTCAGACAAACAGTAGCAGGAAATGTTTTAGTAGGAAGTTACAGTACATTTAGTAATCAAGGGGGTCTGGTAAGTTAAAACAACTTTTACTTTGTGTGCAGATATGGGATGGCCATTATATATTAGATTGGTTTGGTGGCTGAGTGGTGTAATGCATAAACTTTAGATCATAAGGTCTGTCATGATTCAAGTTTCTTGGAATTAATCACATGTTTGTTTGTGACACAAATAGGTCACCTACCTAACCTCGGACCCCTGCACAAAATTGAATTATGAAAATAGAGATATACCATAATAATGTTAGTCTTAAATGACCTGTCAGCCCAAAAGTGCTAGGCCATACTGTTTATGAAAAAGGACATTTGAAGTTTATCCTTTCAACCATGGATAGTTTTTAAAACATAAATTTTTATTTTTGAAGGTACATCCTAAAACATCAATAGCAGATCAAGATGAACTGTCTTCATTATTACAAGTTCCTTTAGTTGTAAGTTCTTCTACTATTGACATTCAGACCTATCACTTTTTTTTAAAATTGTTTTACTGACAGATAAGCAAATTAACTCCTATATTGTGTCTCACATGTTGGTGGTAAATTAAGGAAAAAAAATATAGCCTCCCAGTCATACTAGTTTATATCGATGTCTTAATGTCTATCTCTGAAAGTGAGGCTAACATTTATTAATGAATTACAGTACCTGAACAAGACTCAGAGTACTTCATGATTTGAAAATAATATTGTAAATGTCAAGGGAGGCTATTGACCTAAACCTGGGAAATCCAGTCACTAGAGATTTTACAACCATGGTAAGGTAGATATGACAGTGTGTGTAACACGAAATGACATGAGAAATAACTTAATTCATAATTTTCAATGTAGACGTACAAGACTACACAAATTTTTTGAACTGATTAAGTTATTGTAAACCAGTGAGTATTCATTCTGACTAACAATCAGTTCGAGAGTAAATTATTGAGATGAATGGTTTGACAGAAAATATATGTTCCAAGATGTAGATTAAAAATGCTTGTGATTAACACAAGTAATTGAACATGCATCAACTTGTATATTATTGTTATTTGAAATGTATTAATTATATTAAATATTATTTAGGCTGGTACAGTAAATAGAGGTAGTGATGTGATAGGTGGTGGTATGGTTGTCAATGATTGGATAGCATTTTGTGGTTTAGATACAACATCTACAGAAGTATCAGTTGTAGAAAGTGTGTTTAAGTTAGGTGATAATCAACCTTCACAAATACAAACAGATATGAGAGATGCCTTATTAGATAGGTAAGTAACAGTCGTGGCATGATGAGGAACATTTCTTGAGCAACTATATACTGTCCAATTAAATATTCATATCACATATACAAATTGGGATGTTAAGAACCTAATGATCTAAAGTGTTGCTTTTTAAATTGCAAACTTGTCAGTCCTATGACCACACTTAACAGGGATTAGGTCTGCCTACTAATCCTAGGATGTCTTCAAGAATTCTTAAGTTTGTTCCCAACCAGAGCCCAAATCTTCTGTGTAACCATTTTCTAGGAATTTTCCGATCTTACAGTTGATTAGGAATTTAGAGTGCTTCCATTGCAGAATACACTTACTGGGACACATTTGGAAATTTGGATTGTTTTATAATTCAGTCATACCATTCTTAACTTTTCAAAAGGTGAGCAATAATCTGGAATGCATCAATCGACAATGACCATTATTGTTTGCTTACACATAGTGGAGTAGTCATAGTTTTCTGGGTCACAGTGGCAAAACTAACAGAAAGTAGACTAACTCAGATATATAACACCACAAAGTATTATTAAAAGAGAAATTATATGCTTGTGTCATGCTAGTGAGAGGGGTGAAAAATTCCCTCAAACATTTTTCTACCTGTATATGACCGACAAATCAAAAATAACTATAAGTCCAGGAACGAACCAGAAGATTCATGCTACTTCTATTGCTGAACAACCCTGAGTGCACCCAAAGAATTTTCCATTGATGTAAATTATCAACAGTTCACAAACCTAGTATAGTAATTTAATCCTTTCTTATCTATTTTTCAGTTTGACATAATTTTAAAGAAGAAAAATGGTTAAATAATATCAGTGCTACTACAAAAGATAAAATATTCATAGTAGAGAAAAGGCAGTGGATGAGAGACTGAGAATACTGAGAATTATTCATTCAATCATCACCATTAAAAAAAATCATTGTTGTGTATATTTTCATTTAAATTTACTTTACTCATAGTAAATTTTGAAAAATATTTACCAAAATGCATTTAGAGTAATATAGCCTATAGATTCTATGGTTAACAGAATTAAAGAAACTATTCATCTTCAAAATTTACTATGGGAAGTCATTAGTAAGAAATAGACTAAATATTCAGAAAAATAGTGTATATTATTGTCTTTATAAAATTTCAATTTAAAAAGACAAATGTAATAATTAGTAGGTGGTGTACCTTGTAAATAGCTCAAATCCACCAAATAATAAAAATTCTTAAATGAAATACACATTGTTATTGTAAAATGTGTATTCAGTACAATAAAATCCATACTATTGAAATTTTTTTGTATATTAGATTTTAATCTCTGCTAATTTCAACTGCCAGGTGTTCTTTTACATGTACGCCAATGAGAACTTGGTTTTTATACGCCCACATCTTCATGTGGAGGTATATTTCCCATCCAGACATAATTTGTTTGTGGACATTCTCGAGGTCACAATTCTTATCGATATTGGCATGAATGGGATCAAAACTTCATGGATCATGGCCCCTGGTGGTTCGAAAAATCACGTTTTTAGCTTGTGGACATTCTAGAGGTCACAATTTTTATCCAGTTTAGATGAACCTTGAAATCTAAGTATATAATAACCCAAAGATCTTGGTTCCTTTCAATATTTGCGCATATCGGACCGCAACTTCCTGGATTATGGCCCCCGATTGTATGAAAACTCACGTTTTTAGCTTGTGGTCCCACTAGACGTCACAATTGTTATCTGATTTGAAAAACCGCTCTATGTATGCAATTAGTATGTAATATCAAGTTTTTGGACCCTCTAGAGGTCACAATATTGATCCAATTTTGATGAACCTTAAAACATGTGTTTATGACCCAAAGATCTCGGTTGCTTTCAATATTCGTGCATATCAAACCTTAAGTTCCTGGATTATGGCCCCTGAGTGTACTCAAAAATTGTGATTTTAGCTTGTGGACCCTCTATAGGTCACAATTTTTATCCGATTTTAAAAATCTTTTAAATGCATCACCGTTTACACCCTAATAATGGTTTAGTAAAAATCGGACCGAAACTGCCTTACTAAATGGCTGCTCCTTGAACACAAATGTAATATCAAGGTCACAATTTTTGTCCGATTTTGATGAAACTTAATATATATGTTTATATTCCCAAAATCTCAGTTCCTTTTGATATTCACGCACAACGGATTGTATCTTCCAGGATTATGGCCCCTGATTGCACAATTTTTATCCGATTTTTAAAAAAATGTTTAAATATATCAGTGTTACAACCTAATAATGGTTGAGTTCAAATTCTGTGAAAATCAGACTGAAACTGTCCGACAAAAGGGCCGCTCCTTGTACGAAAATAGTGTAAATGTATGTAATACCAAGGTTGTGGAACCTCTAGAGGTCAGAATTTTTATACGCCCAAATTTTCATGTGGACGTTTATTGTCGTCGTCGCCGCTGTTTGTGTACAGTCTACAGGGCACAATTTTTATCCGATTTCAACGAAACTTGAAATATAGGTTTATCACACTAAGATATTGGTTCCTTTCGATATTGGCATGTATCTAACTCTAACTTCATGGATTATGGCCCCCGGATTGTACGAAAAATCATGTTTTTAGCTTGTGAACACTGTAGAGGTCATAATTTTTATCCGATTTGGTTTAAACTTGAAATGTATGCTTATAACCCAAAGATCTCGGTTCCTTTCGATATTTGGGCATATGGGACCGTAACTTCATGAATTATAGCCCCTGATTGTACGAAAAATCACGTTTTTAGCTTGTGGACCCTATAGAGGTCATAATTTTTATCCGATTTAAAAAAAACGTATTATTATATCACCGTTACACCCTAAGGATGGCTAAGTTCGAATTTCGTGAAAATCGGCCCAAAACTGAAAGACAAAATGCCCGCACTTCGTTCTCAAATGGCGTAAAAATATGGTATATCAAGGTTGTGGACCCTATAGAGGTCACAATTTTTATCCGATTTTGTTGAAACTTGAAATGTAAGTTTATAACCCAAAGATCTCGGTTCCTTTCGATATTTGCGCATACCGAATTGTAATTTCTTGAATTATGGCCCTTGATTGTAGGAAAATCACTTTCTTTTTAGCTTGTTCTCTATCTCTCGAAAATGTGGGCGTATCCTGCCTGGCAGCCGCTGGTTATCTGATTTTGATGACACTTAAAATATATGTTTATATCCCAGAGATTTCGATTCCTTTTGATATTCGCGCTCATTGAACCACAACTTTCTGGATTATGTCCCCAGATTTTACGAAAAATTGCTTTTTTTTCTTAGCTTGTTTACTGTCCATCTTTTGCAAAATGTGGGCGTATCTTGCATGACAACCGCTTGTTCATTTTTTACCTCTTCCTGCACCATTGAGAGGGGGATTGACACAAGAAAATCTGGGATCTGCTGGTCTATGTTCCCTTTTACTCACTAACTCAAAAAACGTCAAACGGACGAAAAGAAATACAGCTCAGTGTATTCGAACCTTACACAATCTATTCTCATTGTGTAAAAGTTCAATGATGTTAATATTGTACTTTCTAAAAGAATATTACAATTTATAATTATACAGGGATCCCATTACAATTGTCTTAGTTATTAGATGGGACATTTTTTACTAAAACATACATGTATATTCCAATGTTAAAACAAACCTAATATAACCTCAACAATAATTTTAAATTTTATTAAACATTACATATCTAAGCATGCCAGCCACATAAATGAATTATGCTTCATAAAATTAGGTTGAACATCTTAGATAATTAAAAACAAAAATATGGGGTGAACCACCTCGGTACAAAATCAATTAGAAATCTTATGAATAGAAATTAGCATGCAATGCATTATGAATGATAATTAATGTTACACTATATACAAGTACTAAATATAAATATTGTGATCTATGACTTCCTACAACAACAAACTAAACAAACAGAACTTTTATCTCTATCCTAATTCTTTACATTTATCATAAGTAATGAGATACTTTGTCAAAGTTATAGTGCTTAGTGTTCCAGATGATTAACATGATAAAATAAAGATGTTATCAAATATGTTCCACATGAAGGAAGAAGGAACTGCGTAGGTGCGAAATATAAGATGAGATGTTTTGGCAGTCATCATACTGTGCGATACAATATCACATACATGTATGTATTTGTTATTACATTCGTGCATGTACTTGATGTTATATTCAGACATATTTCATATTACATTTATTTATTTTACATTTGATATTATTACATTTATACTTGTATTTGAGATTACATTCATACTCACTGTTACTAATACCATACAAAATACATTCAACTTTTCATATCATGATCTATTTGTAACTGTTACTATTGCTACTTTTGGAAGATTATGTGGCAATTTAATATTTGGAAACAAAACATGCTCTACAGTATTCTTTATAAAAGGGGAATAATTTATTTTTCAATGACTGTAGGTGCTGAATGAGAAAAAGATTGTGAATATAATGATATGTCATATTCCTGAAGCAATGGCCCATGAAATCCCTCTTTGGCCATTACTGAATTGACTTCTGATACTTGAGTTTTTGAGGGAGTGTGCCTATTCTTCCCGTTCAGTCAAATCTCTCCTAAGTACAGCAACATGACAGCCCTTTGTTTAATCTGAGGTCTTCCCTAAAAATTTGGACAGTATTGTTCGTCTCCAAACAGTATTGTTTACATTGTAGCCGTTTTAATAGCCTCGTTTGTCACGCAATTAGTTTTTATGCAATGGTTAATTGGGCATAATAAATTTCGTGAGTCATGACATAATGTTATGTAAACATATTTGGAGCTCTGTTTAAACTTGAATGATATTTTTACGCAGTTAGTTATTGGTTGTTAATGGGACTATTGACCAATCATAATTTGGAACAGAAATTTCCTTTCATTAAGGCAGTGTTAAGTGGGATTAGGTCTAATTAAACAAAACACTGAGAGGAGTATTGTGATATGTATAAATCTCTATTTTGTCGGGCCTACAATTAAGCTTAATGTATTATCTATATAATAATACCAACACATAGTAATAATATCAGTATTTTATGTTGAAATTAATTTGCGGTTACATTACAATCAATTTCTACATTGTGCATGATATGTCAAATATCATTTGAGGATGATCTCATCTAAAATCTCAACCATATACTAGTAGGTCAATTTTATTTCTTTTTATACGGACACATTGAAATGAGGTCATATATTGTTGTCGCCCCCATTCGTTGTGGACACTCTAGAGGCTAAAGTTAACATCCGATTGACTTAAAATTTATACGTAGTGTTTAAGGTCATGAGATGAAGAAGCCTATTGATTTGCAGCGATTTTCATTAATTACTGCCAGAGTTATGGCCCTTGATTACTGGCTCTAGAGGCTCAAGTTAATATGCGATTGACTTTAAATTTATACCCAGTGTTTAAGGTCATGAGACGAAGAAGCCTATTGATTTTCACCGCTTTCCGATAATTACTGCCAGAGTTATGGCCCTTGATGACTTTGAAAAATCTTGTAGAAGCTCTTGAGGCTAAAGTTAATATCTGATTGACTTTAAACTTATACACAGAATCCTACTAATTTTCAATGATTTCAGATAATTACTGCCAGAGTTAAAGCCCTTGATCACTTTGAAAAATCTTGTGGTCGCTCTAGAGGCTAAAACTCCCATTTCATTCATTCATTCACTCTAGAGGCTAAAGTTAATATAAATTGTTTAGGGTCATGAAACAAACAATTGAAACACATTCTTATGATTTAATTACTAGATGGGTTATTACTCGTCATCAGATTTACATGTGTTGTAAATGTTCTCATTACTGACAAAAGAAAAAATATGCGACAATATTTGTTGACTGCCTGGATGACTATCTTTAAATTACCGGTATGTGGGTTAACATTCTGGCTGCAATATAATCTAACAATCTTCAGAAGTTTAGTTGGATTAAGCTGACATAACCTCTCATTTAGCCAATGAAGAGATGCTTTTTATTTTGCAAATATTGTTTTAGCCAATCACAATGACTCAAATCTCAAATCAGACTTTACATAAGTATATAAATGAAATAAAGATCAAATTAGAAAGTGTGCCCATTGGAAGTAGAGAGGGTTTCACAGTTGTAAAGTATGGACGGTTTAAAACTATATAGTAAGACTATATTATAATATACTCTTCAAAAAAAAGTAGGGGATACCGAAATGCAAATACCTATGCAGGTTGCGATATGATAAATAGCCATGGACATTTGACATGGTTTGAGAGTATGTTCACAGACGAAGAACTTAACACCCCAACAGAACCACTGAGCTGTACGTGCGACACGCAATAGGGCGGTACACGTGGGAGGGGCCGTCAGATAAGCCGCGCATATGAACTGTTTATGTTCATGTGTAGGCAATTGGCCTGTTATTAACATACACTGGTTATCTAAAATAAAAACAGCAGTGCATTTCTGCAGTTTTGTATTGTTTCTGAATATCCTCTACTTTTTTTGAAAAGTATATATTTCTGGTGTTTGACTGCAATTTTTTCTTTCTTTACAAACAATTTCATCAATGTTTTCCACACACCCACTTTAACTTTGGATCTTTCAGTTCTGTAAGTTCGTGAACATTTTGCCAACTACACTGACAACTATAAGCACAACTCCCTAAAATACATTCAATATAACAATAGTCATTAAAATTAGCATTAATTACAAAAGGAGAGATTTAAATAAACTAATAAGAATTTAGCATTACATGTAAATTCATGTAACACATTTTGCATGAAAGAGAGAATTAGAGAGAGAGAAATGGGGTTTAATTTCCACTCGACACCAACGAGGTCATTTCAGGACTAACACATGGTTCGGTTCAATTTCATTTCAAAAATTCGCTTGCGCATAGGGGTCTTTAGCAGTGGGAGGAAACCAGAGGACCAGGAGAAAACCCACGAGGTTGGACAGGCAATCCTACTCCTTGTCATGTACATCCGGGGATTCGAAACCACCCCAATTGACTCAATGACAGACCTTAGGATACAGTGCATGTGCTAACCATTCAGCCATCCAACCCCCCTTTGCATGACAAAAGGATATTGACAAAATTAATAAATTATATTTGGTTATTTTCTTATATAAAAATGCTAATATTGATACAAATACAATGCCTAGAGATCTTTATGGTAGTTAATCTTACAAATAAATCATTCAAATTCTAATAATTAATGATAAGCAAGCCATGAATACGCAATCTGAAATGACCCAACTTCAAGTTCAACAGGGGGGTTGGATGGCTGAATGGTTAGCGTGCGCGCACTGTATCATAAAGTCTGTCATTGAGTCGACTGGCGTGGTTTCGAATCCACGGTTGTATGTGACAAGGAGTAGGGTAGCCTGTCCAACCTTGTGGGTTTCCTCCCACTGCTAAAGACCCCTATGCGCAAGCGAATTATTGAAATAAAATTAAACCATATGTTAGTCCCGAAATGACCTAGTTTGTGTCGAGTGGATGTAAAAACCCATTTCTCTCTCTCTCTCTCTCAAGTTGAACAGATGAAAGGCTTTCACATACAGAACTTGGACTGCTGTCAGACAAGTGGTGTTTTTACTGTTAACCTTCACCTGAGTGCAGCTAAATATAGTTCATGTTTAGATAACTCTGTACAGCAATATAAGCTTACATATATCAAAAGATCCATCAAATTTAACAGTTTTGTGTCAATTTACTTTCTTCATTGCTTTACCAAAGTTTTCATCACTGGTACTCGTTTGACTTATGAAATTCATCATTACTTATTTAGTTATCAATTATATTATTAATCATTTAACTATCAACTATATTATTACTGTATTTATTTTGCTATCAATTATATTATTAATCATTTAACTATCAAATATAATATTACTGTTCTTATTTAAATATCAATTATATTATTATTCATTGCACTATCAAATATGTAATTATTATTTCTGTACTTACTTAAACATACATTATGCAAGAGCAAAATCTGATTATTGCAAGTCTTAATTTAGGCTTCAGATGTTATAGAAATTATAAATTAGATCTTTATTTAAACAACAAGCCCAAAATCAACTCTGTAGACCCACGGATGACTCGGCTACAGCTCGGATTGAAATAGGATTTCACTTATTGATAAATTCAAATATGGCACACCCTGATTAGAATACGTCAGTTAGATCGAGGCTAAATGATAGAGTGTACTTAGCGAGGCCGCTGTAAAGCGTTTCCACATGCCATTGAAAACTTTACTTGATAATCGAGATATGTAGGTGGAGTTAACGCCTGTCAATCAAACGATCGGCCAAGGTGAAGGCACATTTCACTACCATTTCTAATCAAATATTACAACAATGATAACTATGTTCAGAATAAAGTAATTTGACTGAAATTTTCAATATATTCTTCTTTCATCATCTACTTTTGAACTGTTATAGCAAGAATGGCCAACTCTCTATAAAAATCTCCCATAATGTATCTTTAACTATCAATTATATTATTAATCATACTAGTAAAAATATATTAAAACTGTACTGATTTAACTATCAAAATATTGGGAGACCTTGATAATGCTGGTATACTACTATACTTTTACCTTTCTTTCTTTTGAGATTAGATTTCAATTTTTGAAAATCTGGAGCATTATTACGTAGAAAAAGATAATCTGTTTTTGGATTCCATTCATAGTCAGAGAATATAGCCACTTTAAAATCACATGAAGTACAGCGTAATTTATCACATATCCTGTAAATAAGAAAAGTGAATATTTAAAGGACGCATAACTTAACAAACTAACAAATATTATAATCAACCTTCCTCTTGGAATGAACACTAATTAATGCACATACTAGGGATTGTATTACAACTTTAAACATCAAAATTTGGGGTTCTCAATTATGATTTGGGAAAAGAACCCTAATGGAGTGACACAGAATTGAGTTTTATTATAATTCTGTCAGTTTCAATAACAGATATGATGTGAGTAGAATCGAGATGTAATCAAACACAATAATCAAAGTCTGGGGATTAAATTCTCTTTGCTCCATAAATTAAGAATCTGTTTAATTTTTGCAAATTTAGTAGTTAGTTCTTATGTGTAAATCTAATAAATACATTTAGTTTACAAAAATCCCCTCTTCCTAAGTGTTATTACCTTTTATTTACACTACTTCCCAAGCCCTGGTCACACAATGTTCCTCCAAAATATATAGGGAAACATCTGGAAAAAATGAAGAATATTTAATATTAATTAAGATAATTAGCTGCCCATAGAAAAAAACGTCAATAATTTATATTATCAATGAGAGATTGCCAGGCAACGAACCATACACCCACAGCAGCAAAGTCGTCTGGGCAGTCAACAAGGGATGTCAGTGTCACATATTTTTTCTTTTGTTGGTAAAAAAACCAACATTTACAGCACACTAAAATCTGACTAAGAGTAAAACCCATTAAGTAATTATCAGAAATCTTTAGAATTTGTTTGGCTTCTAGTTCTGCAACATGTTAACGTCTAGTATACAAAACCTTTAATATCATGGATTTAGCTGTTCAAGTTGAAATCATTGAAAATCAATAGACTTCTTCATCTCATGACCTTAAAGGCTCAATACCACTCTTGTTGTAACTGAATAATATGTCCCAATCTTTATTCTGGTCAACAAATTGTACTATTTTAGAATATTTCAATTAATTGATAATACAAATTTCATCTTAACACACCTTATTTAAAAATTTTGAAAAATTCAACATAATGGTTTGAAACATCTAACGTAAACCTTTTCAAATGAAACTTCGATTTAAAAATATTTTTGAACCCTCTGGACAAGTAAAATAGGATGTAATGGATAATTTACACAACAGGTAGGACACTTAAACATCTAGTACTTAGATAGAGATATTAATTATTTTCTGGAGCTTTCAAGCCAGCAAGAGTGTTATTGTCCCTTTAAACACTGTATAAATTTAAAGTCAACATGATATTAACTTTAGCCTCTAGAGTGCCCACAATTACTTGTGTACAATAATTAATAGACTACAATTTCAAAAAAACATCAAATGCATCATTTTGACTTAGTCAAAATTGAAATTGATCCCATCAAACAACCATCTGTAATTGGTTTGTGTTACCTGTTTCTATAGATCGGAAGTTTCTCAAAATTGCTTGTGGACACCAGACCGACGGACAGACAGGGGCAATGACAATATATGCCCACATTTCAGTGTGGGCATATAAAAAGGCAAGCATATCAGCAGACCACTAAAACTTGCATTAGTAGAATTGTTCACAAATAAGGGCTAAAAAGTATTGAGTTACAATAAAAAGTGCTAGAATGAAAACAAACATTTAGCTCATTTAAATTTAGCAAAAATTATGAGCAGAAAAGTGTTCTTTGGTACCTAAGAGATCACAACAAAGCTAGGTTGCCAGGCAACTAAACATGAGCTATGTCGTACAAGCCTTTATACTGTATAATATCATTGGTATTATCAAGAACAATAATTATATAAGTAATTACATGTATCAGAAAATGCTTAAAGTCGACAGAACTTTTCATTTAGACACATCAGACAAAATAATGTAAAGTAACACACGTAATCAAGATATAATTTCTTACCCATTGATTCTGACAGATGTCAAACATTTTTTTGATAAAATTATGTTTCAAAATATTGCTTTGGGTTTTCTTATTTAGCTTTAATTAATGTGTTATCTTTATTTCTGAAAGTTGCAAGATAATACAATAGGGACCTTTCGCATCAGTACGAAAACGAACACCAAAACGAACATATGTTCGTTTTCGTTTTCATATCCTCTTACACGCGGTTTCACAATCCGATGTACGATAATGGCTAAATGGCGTTAATTTCCACTCCATGAACTTCTCGGCCAAGGCAAAGTTTTCAATCGATTTTTTGGCAGATGTACAACAAATCAAACAGAATATTGCTGTTGAGCACATTCTACGTAGATAAAAAAGGAACAATATACACAAAGCCTCGAAAAATGGTGGAAAATTCAATATATGAGACAAGAAACATATTCGTTTGCATACCTACGTAAATCCAGCTCCATACGCCTAACGTTTTTCACTGGCCGAACATCCATTACGGATTGACGTCACAAGTACACACGAATCAATGACGCTTTCGTTTTCGTATTCGTTTTTGTACCGATGCGAAAGGTTCCTAATAAGTATATTTTACTCACTTTTTGGCAGGAATAGTGAATGGAGTGTTTGACTGTATACTAGAAGTAGAAGACTTATTTTCACATGGCTGAAAAGATTATCAAACAACATATATATTGACTTTGGCCTCTAGTGCGTCCACAAGATTTTTCAAAGTGATCAAGGGCCATAACTGTGGCAGTAAATATCGAAAATCACTGAAGATAGGTTGCCAGGTAACGAAACATACGCCCACAGCAGCTAACTCGTCCGGGCAGTCAACAAGAGTTGTCACATATTTTTACTTTTTTCGGTAATGAAACATTTATAATACATTAAAATCTGATTAAGAGTAACAACTCATTAAGTAATTATCAGAAAACCATTAGAATTTGTTTGGTTTTTATAAAGTTTTGCCCCATGCTAAACGTTTAGTATAGGAAACTTTTAACATCATGGATTTAGCTGTTCAAGTCATAAAAATTCATTGAAAATCAATATACTTGTTTGTCTCAAGACCTTACATTCTGTGTATGAATCTGAAGTCAATCGGATGATAACTTTAGCTTCTAGAGGGTCACAAGGTTTTTAAAAGTGATCAAGGGTCATAACTTCGTCTCATGACCTCAAACACTCTGTATCAATTTAAAGTCAATCGGATATTAACTTTAGCCTCTAGAGCATTTAAAAGATTTTTTGAAGTGATCAAGGGCCATAACTCTGGCAGTAATTATCGAAAATCGCTGTAAATGAATCAACTTCTTCGTCTCATGACCTTAAACACTGTGTATAAATTTAAACTCAATCGGATATTAACTTTAGCCTCTAGAGCGTCCACAAGATTTTTCAAAGTGATCAAGGGTCATAACTCTGGCAGTAATTATCGGAAATCGCTGAAAATCAATAGGCTTCTTCGTCTAATGACCTTTAACACTGTGTATAAATTTAAAGTCAATCGGATATTAACTTCAGCCTCTAGAGCATTTACAAGATTTTTTGAAGTGATCAAGGGCCATAACACTGGCAGTAATTATCGAAAATGGCTGAATATGAATAAACTTCTTCGTCTCATGACCTTAAACACTGTGTATAAATTTAAACTCAATCGGATATTAACTTTGACCTCTAGAGCGTCCATAAGATTTTTTGAAGTGATCAAGGGCCATAACTCTGGTAGTAATTATCAGAAATCACTGAAAATCAATAGGCTTCTTCGTCTCATGACCTTAAACACAGTGTATAACTTTTAAGTCAATCGGATATTAACTTTGGCCTCTAGAGCGTCCACAAGATATTTTGAAGTGATCAAGGGCCATAACTCTGGCAGTAATTATCAGAAATTGCTGAAAATCAATAGGCTTCTTCGTCTCATGACCCTAAACACTGTGTATAAATTTAAAGTCAATCGGATATTAACTTTGGCCTCTAGAGCATCCACAAGATTTTTTGAAGTGATCAAGGGCCATAACTCTGGCAGTAATTATCGGAAATCGCTGAAAATCAATAGGCTTCTTCGACTCATGACCTTAAACACAGTGTATAAATTTAAAGTCAATCGGATATTAACTTTGGCCTCTAGAGCGTCCACAAGATATTTGAAGTGATCAAGGGCCATAACTCTGGCAGTAATTATCGGAAATCGCTGAAAATCAATAGGCTTCTTCGACTCATGACCTTAAACACTGTGTATAAATTTAAAGTCAATCGGATATTAACTTTGGCCTTAAGAGCGTCCACAAGATTTTTTGAAGTGATCAAGGGCCATAACTCTGGCAGTAATTGGAGGCAGACCACCATTAATTTCCCCATTGACTTCAATGTTAATTCTGGCCTCTTGTCTGACAATTTGGAGATCATATCATCAAATTTAGGCCTTTCATCCACTGTCAGGTTGTTTTCATATAGGAGGCAGACCACCATTAATTTCCCCATTGACTTCAATGTTAATTCTGGCCTCTTTGCCCACCTCCAACTTTTCCCCAAATTTTCGTTGGGCTGAATGCTTTTCACTACAGACAAAGGAACAAATGGTCATGTCTTTGCACTAAAATTTGTATGAGGTTGACCACCAAAATTTTGAGATACACAAACTTGAAGAAGCATACTAAAATCATGTAACTAGTTGCCGTACATATCGCCGTAGCTAACCTGATAACCCTCTTATCCTTCCACCTCAAAATCATGAATATTTACCAAAACCTGGCAGAAAATGTTAATTCAAACCCTCTCCGTCCATTCTAGACCAAAAAATCAACACAAATGGGCATGCAAAGGGGAGAAAAGAGAGAGAGAGAGAATTGCTATAAATAGACGAACTACAATTCGTGGGTACCGAGATGATGAAATTTAATGGTGGTCTGCCTCCTATATGGTTTTATAAGTTCATATATCATCAAAATTCTTTTCTTTATAGCTTCACATTTATTTTTGCAACATTATTGTAATACAGAATCAGAAAAAAATAATTACTGCAGAAATGGTGACCCTTTAAAGTTATGTAGTGTTTTGTATACCGGATTGCAGCTCAGGTCCATGGGCCTTTTGTTCTAGAATTGAAGATTCTTTCTTAATTTTGTCGAAATGTGAGTTCTGCGAAAAGATTTAAAGAGTTCCAGACAAGTCACATCAAAAATATTCAAAATATTGGAATATTTTTCAAAAATTGACTTTCTTTTACCTTTTTCTACAAAATGGTCCATTTTTGACACTTTGTATGCCTCAAAATGCTAATATTTCCCTATTTCTGGGAAAGTCTGAGATGAAAAGCATTTATTTCTAGAAACCTGGGCCGGTATACAGGAAGACAAGCTTCAAATTTGTTGCATTGAAGGTAACTGTAAGGAACTATAGTGAAACCTGTAAGCCCACCCCCTAAAAATGTTGGTGTGGTAACAAATCCCACTTGTGTCCACATAAGTAATACTTCTATCCCTGGCTTATATACATACATATAAACACAGTTTGTTATAAGAAGTATGAATTATTTATTAAAATATGGATTGATAAATGTAAAATAAATGCTGTATTTAGGTGACAACCAGCCACTCTAATAAAAGGGTCGCAAAGCACTATTTTTTTTTTTTAAAAATGGGAATATTTCAGTTTTTAAAATACTTTAACAATCAGAGGTATCCTTGAAATTACATAGTGTAAATATTATGTGGAAGCAAGTTGTTTTAATCTTTACATCAATGTCCTGACAAAATGAGATGGAAAAAGGGAGTTCTGACATAATTCAAAGCATAAAAGGGGTATGAAAAGGCTATTAATTAATATTTTATTGCCCTGTAAGTGCCACATTTTCAAAGATCACCACAAATAATAGATTTACATTCAAAATGTAAAACATTAAGCTGCAAAAAACACATCTACAACATATCCATTTTGGGGTGTGGACTCATTTGGAAGAAATGTCATAGGATTACATGTTTGACCATAAACAAAAAGTCTTAGAAATCCTTGAAATCTTATATGTAACTATTTGTTTGTGTCAAATAAAATGCTCGGTTACAATTCAAGCACAAAATCAGATTACTGCTAATTTGGAGTCAACAAATGTTCAATTGAATATCCAAATATCATCTTCAAGAAAAGGGGTGGGGTGGGGAGGGTGAGCCAGTCTAAATGAAATGAAGACAGAGAAATTTCCCTGCAAACACATAGATTTTACTTTCTCGAGAAGGGAAATGCAACAATTTCAGGTTTTGAAAGATTAAAATTGTGTTAAGCCTGAGGAAAACAGCAGCAAAATGCAGTTCACTCATGTTTTGAAAATTCTAACACACCTAAGCAGAACATAATTATGACTAAATTTCTTAATTTTTAAATTTTTGACAAACACATGAATACTTTTTCAATATCTGACAAACACATGGATCCTTGCCAAGTTATTTAACAATGAAAATAAAGACATGCAAGACATTTTGGTTCATTTTACAACAGATGAATAATTAAAATTTTGACAGCAATATTGGGGTAATCTGAAGAATTTCAGACAATTTATCATGATTTTTAGGCAAAATTGAGTGAAATTATGATACTTTCTTCCCGTTTAACAATTATAATGCAGAAAAGTAAAAATCATACATTAAAATATTTTCCACTAATTTTGAAAAGTAAATAAACACTGAAAATCACCAAATTTTGACTAAAATCAAAATTTCCCCTCCCAAATTTGTCAAATATTTTTGAAATTTTACCATTTCACATTTTTTACTATCAAAATGCCATATATCACATTTTCTGACAATTTGGAGATCATATCATCAAATTTAGGCCTTTCATCCACTGTCAGGTTGTTTTCATATAGGAGGCAGACCACCATTAATTTCCCCATTGACTTCAATGTTAATTCTGGCCTCTTTGCCCACCTCCAACTTTTCCCCAAATTTTCGTTGGGCTGAATGCTTTTCACTACAGACAGAGGAACAAATGGTCATGTCTTTGCACTAAAATTTGTATGAGGTTGACCACCAAAATTTTGAGATACACAAACTTGAAGAAGCATACTAAAAACATGTAACTAGTTGCCGTACATATCGCCGTAGCTAACCTGATAACCCTCTTATCCTTCAGCCTCAAAATCATGAATATTTACCAAAACCTGGCAGAAAATGTTAATTCAAACCCTCTTCTTCCATTCTAGACCAAAAAATCAACACAAATGGGCATGCAAAAGGGGAGAAAAGAGAGAGAGAGAGAATTGCTATAAATAGACGAACTACAATTCGTGGGTACCGAGATGATGAAATTTAATGGTGGTCTGCCTCCAATTATTGAAAATCTCTGAAAATCAATAGGCTTCTTCGTCTCATGACCTTAAACACTGTGTATAAATTTAACATCAATTGGATATTAACTTTGACCTCTAGAGCGTCCACAAGATTTTTTGAAGTGGTCAAGGGCCATAACTCTGGCAGTAATTATCGGAAATCGCTGAAAATCAATAGGCTTCTTCGCTTCATGACCTTAAACACTGTGTATAAATTTAAAGTCAATCGGATATTAACTTTAGCCTCTAGAGCGTCCACAAGATTTTTTGAAGTGATCAAGGGCCGTTACTCTGGCAGTAATTATTGGAAATCGCTGAAAATCAATAGGCTTCTTCGTTTCATGGCCTTAAACACTGTATATAAATTTAAAGTCAATCGGATATTAACTTTAGCCTCTAGCGCGTCCACAAGCAATTGTGGACGCCGGACGGACAGACGGGGGCAACGACAATATACGACCACATTTCAATGTGGGCGTATAAAAAGGCTTACATGACAAGTTTCTATTTTTAAAAAATATAAACAGTCTCGTTAATTAAAGCACATAAATATCTTAAAGCTCTGTAAAAAAAAACATTGACTGAATCCAGAAATGTGGCATAGCCTCATTTTTCATTTATGATACCCTAATAAATACTAATAACAATCATAAATGATACTGGATAATCATATTATTCCTTTCAACAACATGAGATAAAGTAGGCTACACTATGTTCAGCTATTCCACTTATTGATGCAGGACAAAACCAGATTCTGCGTCACACCATAGCAATTCTGAAATCGCAAATTAAACTAACACCTTATATTATTGTAGTTAGCATTTATACCACATTATAAAAAAAAATGCATTTTAAGCGAGCTGCAGATCCCACTTATGCCTATGGGGATTTTGTGAAACCATTGTCAGTCACATGGGAAACCAATATCGGTCAAATAAGGTAGCTTTTTTCAATGTTTGTGATTGTTTTGGTCTAGTTTCAATTATACCTTTTCTTGGCCATCTTCTGAAATTTCTAGATCTACATCCAAACCTAAAATATCATCAACATCTTCCTCTAGTTTACTTCTTACCCTGTAAATATGTTTTGATACATACAACGTATTTAGAATCAAACAACACACCTCTTGTTATCATAAATCATTTAAAATTTAGTTGACACTTTTTTGTACAACTGAAAGTCAACTCTACTGGTATTCAATCTAATATGAACATGCCCTATGTAATTGTGTAGTCAAATTGTGTCAAAAGGAAGAAAAATTCACAACCGATAGCAAACATCTCCAAAAGTTACTAATGCCTTTTTAATTTGATGGATCTACATAAAAATTGTAAATCATATTATTCATTTCGATGGCGATTATTTAAATTTGTAACTACATAGAGACCCAGTATAGTCTTCTTTGTAGTAGTACTTATATACATTGGGAGCGGTCATAAGAAATATATTATGGTCATTTTCATTAATTAGTTTGTTCTATTTACATGTACCTTAAGCATATTATTAGATGATAATTATATGATTCGTGTGTGACAACTTTATTATATTGTGATTGTAATTATTATATTCAGTTGTGATTTTGTTAATATTCTTTTGTAAATATTTCTCTTCCATATTCAAATTTTATTGTTAACTTCTTTTAACTTCTGTTATAAAGGGAAAAATGTAAGACAGGCCTCCCGGCCTAATTTTCAACCCTTTGACAATAAAGTACACGCTGTTAAAAAATATGTTTCCGTCCTCTAACCGACTTGGCGGACATCATTGAAAGGGTAATGCACAAAGTTACGAACTCATACTGACTCTAGCGAGGTAAGCAAGGTCTTATTTTCTCACTAAGATGTTCATTTATATTGTTCAGGCATTCACAGAGACTGACACGCGACCGTTTAGCAGTAAAAAGTTGCCCAGTAAAATTGACTGGGAAACCAAATCTTGTCGACAAGGATTCAATAGAAGAGTCCCTGAATTCAATAGAAGAGTCCCTGAACGTAGAGGCCGAGTGTAATGAGACCTACGTTCAGAGCTGAACTAGGCCTACATATGGTTTGTTAAAAAATAAAACTGTCGTATGCTACTGATTTGTCTGCGATATTACAAGCTTGGAGTTCTCATGAGCGCCTCTCAGAATATTATAACCTTTGATGTTTCCTTTGATTCTGTTTCTGGTCAACATGAACAAATTCATTCTTTCCCTTTCTTCTATCCAAATTTAATGCCGAAGTTTCTGATTTCTTTTTAACACAAAATTTTGTTTCAACTTCATCCAGCAAATCGTCAAGATCATCTGCCATTCTTCAGCTTGAAGAGTTTTGCTGTTTTGATAATAATGTCTAAGGCTGTTCACCAAGTAGGCCTGTAAATAAAACAAAACAGCATCACATTATTTATTATTTACATCGCTAGGTAGGCTAAGGTCCTAAAATATTTAATAAACCATGCTGAAACGAAGTCGAGTTATTTTGTGTAATTTCATGGCAAATATTAAATCCTGGGTTACATTTGCTAACTTCAATCAAAGGTTTCATAAAAAAACATTAGAAACGAGTTGTCATATATAACTTTTTGATATTAGATAAATATAATGCGTTTTGCTTTATGCATTCGTCGAGATGAAATTTTACATGTACCGTCTCGGTTTTAGAATGAATGTATTGCGCATGTGCAATCCACGATTCCAGAACAGCAGATGCAAGATTTAATGTATTTATTTCCATAAAAAGGGTGTTATTTCGCACTAATAAGTAAAAGAAATGGCTAAGAATGAACAAGTATTGCAACTGGAGCCGTCTACTGAGCTTCGCTTCAGAGGTAATTGCTCTTATATTCAGTCGGGACGCGTAAATTTGATTTACCGGAATGTCTTCTCGCCCCATCCTCAAAAATATCAGGCTTCTTCACTCTTGACCACACATTTAGATCTATACACAATCACGGTTTATCATTCTTTTATTTCTGATCTACCAAAAAATGAAAATGATTTGTAAATTATCAAAAAAACACGTCATTTCGTGTATTGATATGTTAGTTAAATGAATAAATTAGAATTTATTTACATACACAAACAGCAAGTTGAAGTTACAAAATTTATTAGACTTGATGTTCATGATTTAGTTGATAGTAGTAAATGATAGGCCTACATCATAATATTAAATCAATATTTCTGTGAAAATGCCAATTATATTGATTGAGATCATAACAACCCTTAATGTAGAAGAATAGTTTGATTTTTCGACCATGTCTCCTTTAGCTATAGCCAGTCACCATTACATTTTCACTCAGTATTGTTATTCTGATTTACAACTTTTCAGGTTTGTTGTCCCCCGCCTTTCAAAGAAAGCAGAGGACTATTAAAATGGGTTCGTCCGTGCGTATGTCTGTCTGTCAGTCTGTCCATCACACTTTTTGGGACACAATAAATCTTTTTCTAATTGATCTAGAATGTTCCAACTTGGTGTAGGTGTTCATTAGGTCAAAGCCTTGATGGAGTTCGCAGATGAGCATTTTCTGCCCAGGTTAAGCAGAGATAAGCAATTTGATTGGTTGATGCTTTGGGACACTTGGTGTATTATAGTTAAATTACATCAATACCTTGACTAAGTTTGATAATGAGCATTTTCTGCTCAGGGTAAGCAGAGCGATAAGTAATTTGATTGGCCGAGACTTTGGAACACATAACTCTTCTTCGAATTGAGCTAGATAGTTCAAACTTGGTGTAGGTGTTTATTAGGTCAATGCCTTGATGGAGTTCGAAGATGAACATTTTCTGCTTAGGATAAACAGAGATGAGCAATTTGATTGGTTGATGCTTTGGGACACGATGACTTTAGTTCTAATTAAGTGAGAGTGATGAAATTTGGTGTATAGTTTTATTACATCAAAACCTTGACTAAATTCGATAATGAGCCTTTTCTACTCAGGATAAGCAGAGCAATAAGCAATTTGATTGGTCGAGATTTCGGAACACAATAACTCTCCTAATTGAGCTAGAATGTTCAAACTTGGTGTAGGCGTTCATTGGGTGAATTCCTTGTCTGCTTACGGCAAGCAGAGATAAGCAGTCTGATTGGTTGATTATTTGGCTCTGGGACACGATAACTTTGGTTTTAATTAAGTGAGAGTGATGAAATTCTGAGTATAGATTCATTATATCATCACATGTACCTTGACTAAATTCGATGATAATTTTCTGCTTAGACTAAGCCTGCTTTTAATTGAGGTAGAATGTTTGAATTTGATGTAGATGTTCATTAGGTGAATGTCTTGACTGAGTTCAATGATTAACATTTTGAGCAAAAGCTAAGCAGAGCTAAGAAATTTTATTGGTTGATGCCTTGGGACAAGATAACTTTGATTCTATCTGATAGAGAGTGATGAAACTTTTTTAAAAAAAAAATGTGCGATTAATTAATGTGTCATCTATTTATTTTGGAATTTCGGTGGGGGACATCAGCCTCACTGTTGGCTTGTTAATATCAGTATAAGCTTAAAATTATGTACTATTTAATGGATAAGACTTGGAGACTTCAACAAAATTGACTAGCCGTGCTGTTATATCATAATCTTGTTCTTTTTTTATTTTCATGTGGACGTATATTGTTGTTGCCCCTGGACATCCGTCCATTCATATATTTGTATACCCTCTACAGGTCACAATTTTTATCCCATTTTTAACCTGAAATATAGGTTTATATCCCAAAGGTCTTGGTTCTTTTCGACAAATATTGTCATGTATCGACCGTAACTTTATGAAATATGGCCCGTGATTGTACTTGTACGATAAATCACAGTTCTACTAGCTTGTCGGCACTCCATATAAGTCACAATCTTTAGATGATTTTAAGGGTGTGACGATTAGTCGGTTTAGTCAGAGTCGGTTCGGTTTTACCTACAAACCGGTTCAAGTTTTTTTAAAAAAAGATACATGTATTAACGATCGACAATTATGGGGGCGAATAAGCAATAAGCTACATCATTGATAAATGGTCGACAATAATAATAACGAGACAGTATATACTATATTCCGTAATATTCTCGCGATTACAAGCGAGTGTGTTTATGCATACCTAATGAAGTTAATTTAAGAATACGTTATTTGATTGGTCGGTCGCTAAGGTCAATGGTTGAAGTGCCCAATCAGAAACAAGCAATCCTCCAGGTTAGGTCAATAGGCATGCGCACTGAGCTGATGCCCAGATACGCTTTCTCGTCGGTTTATCACTAATATTATTGATCAATATGTCATTGTTTGAAGTTTTTTATATGTTGTATTTATTACCTTTATTAAAAAGGTTAAACAGGAGATTTGAACAAACTACATAGTACAAACAAAACCAAATTTTTTAATGTACTGGACACATAAAACATAGAACTGTATGTATGTCGCCATTACAGTTTTAATGTCAGTATATAAGGCCAGTATATTAGCGTGTATTGTAGACTATGGAAGACTAATATTTTTCAGTTAGTTTTCATTACCGACTAAACCGAACCGGTTCAAGTTTTGCTTAGTCGTCACACCCTTAGATGATTTTTATCCCAAAGATCTCGCTTCTTTTCGATATTTGCGCATATTTGACTGTATCTTTCCTGATTGTGCGAAAAATCAAGTTTTTAGCTTGTGCTCCCTCTAGAGGTCACAATTTTAATCCAATTTTAAAAAAACATTCTAATATATATATCTCTGTTACATCATAATGATTGCTGAGTTCAGCCAGTCCTCATATGTAAATACATGTATTGTAGTAACAAGGTTGTGGACCCTCTAGAGGTCACAATCTTTATCCAATTTGATGAAATTTAAAATATATCTTTATATCCCAAAGATCTCTGTTCCTTTCGATATTCGTGCTTATCGGACCATAACTTCATGGATTATGGTCCTTGATTGTACGAAAAAATCATGATTTTAGCTGGTGAAACCTCTAGAGGTAACAAATTTTACCAGATTTTAAAAATCACTTAAATATATCACCGTTGCACCTTTTAATGGTAGGTTGAGTCCGCCCCTTATTTACGCAAATAGTGTCCAAGCTTGGCGACCCGCTTGCTCTCAGACTTTTTATCTGATTTTGATGAAACTTAAAATATATATGTTTATATCCCAAAGATCTGAGTTCCTGTTGACACTTGAATGTATCAGACCATAACTTTCTTGATTATAGCCCCTGATTGTACGAAAAATCCGTTTTATTAGGCTTGTTCTCTGTCCATCACTTGCAAAAGGTGGGTGTACATGTATCTTGCATGGCTATCTTGCATGGTGTATACATACACCAAATTATGGCCCTTGTTTAAACATACATTATGCAAGAGCTAAATCTGCCTATTGGCATATTGCAGGTCTTTCTTTAGACCTGAAATGTTATCTAAATTATTAATTAGTAGACATTAATTAACTTATCCAGACCATAATCAACTCTCGATGGCATCGCTAGTCTGCGATTTTTATTGGATTAGTTTCCGATTTCCTGTTCGACTTCCATTCATAATTTGATCATGAAATGGATATTCGAGAGTATGTTTTTTATCGTATCGACTTTAGGCAGAAAATTCAATCGCTAAAATCTCAGTTCAGAGTGGATCAATTTAAATGAAATTTTCAGCAAATTCCCTTTATATTATCTTATTTTTAACTATTATAGTGAGAACTGCCAGCTCTTTATCTAAACTCCCATAATGTATCTTTAAAGTTTTCCTCAATTAAATGGCCAGCCGACTCTGACATTCTAATGATAAAAATGACAATTCATATGTGCTTTAAATCGCAAAAGAATATTTTTTTAATAGTGGATTGGATTGCCGAATGGTTAGGGCGTACGCACAGTACCATAAGACCTGTCATTGAGTCAAGCGTCATGGTTTCGATTCCCTGGTTATACGTGACAAGGAGTAGGGTTGTCTGTCCAACCTCGTGGGTTTTCTCTGGGTCCTCTGGTTTCCTCCCAATGCTAAAGACCCCTACCTGCAAGCGAATTATTGAAATAAAATGTTAGTCCTGAAATGACCTAGTTTCTGTTAAGTGGACGTTAAACCCCATTTCTCTCTCAATTTTTACACGTCCGTCGATTTGTGAACACTCTGCAGGTCACAATTTTTATCCGATTTCAACGAAACTTGAAATATAGGTTTATATCCCTAAGATCTTGGTTCCTTTCGATATTGACATATATCGGACCTTAACTTCATGGATTATGGCCCCTGACTACGAAAAATCACGTTTTTAGCTTGTGGACCCTATACAGGTCACAATTTTTATCCGATTTTGTTGAAACTTGAAATGTAAGTTTATAACCCAAAGATCTCGGTTCCTTTCCATATTCGCGCAGCTCGGATGGTAACTTCCTGAATAATGGCCCCTGACTGTACGTAAAATCGCGTTTTTAGCTTGAGGTTCCTCTAGAGGTCACAATTATTATCCAATTTAAAAAAACGTTTGAATATATCACCCTAAAGATGATTGAGTGAATTTCGTAAGTTCGAAGTTCGTGAAAATCGGACGAAAATTGTCGGACAAAATGGCCGCCCCTTGGACCATAGGTCGCAGTCACGCAAAAATCTGCGTATTTCACACATATTTTTCAAAATAAACGCAAATATTGCCGGACGCTGCGTAATTTACATTAGATTATTCTATGTCATAGTTTGTACAATTTATGTGCTTCACCTGGCATTTACACACCTCTACTGCACATACTGTAGTCTCCGTAGTTTTTTTATATTTCCTCTTATTTCATTCATAAGTTCATGGCAGTAAGCCTACGTAGCTATCCTATTGGAAGCAATAAGTGCATTTCATACAAGACTTGGGATTGGCTAGAACACCATATACTGTTTACATTCAGCCAATCAAATGTTGACTTTCATAGCGATAGTTTTCTCTTTACGTCCTGTCGAAGTGAAAGATTGAAATGACTGTGCCGTCAACCATAGACATGCCGTTAACCTCCAGTCGTCATTAGACTAAATACTGTAGGCCTATTAATGAAATAAGGACGCTTAAAATAGGGTTGTTCACAAAACAACTTTACATGCTTCTATATTAAGTATTTTGAGAGGCTCTAAGACACGCAGATGTAGAGGGCAAAAACGCAAAATTTTGGAATGTCTGCGTATTTTTACGCAACTCGAAATTGATCCACTGCGACCTCTGCCTCGGACACAATTAGTCTAAACATCTGGTATATCAAAGTTGTAGACCCTCTCGAGGTCACAATTTTGATCTGATTTTGATGAAACTTGAAATGCATGTTTATAACCCAATGATCTTGGATCCTTTCCACATCGGGGCATATCAGATGATAACTTCCTGAATTATGGCCCCAGGTTGTATGAAAAATCACTTTTTATCTTGTGGTCCCTCTAGAGGTCACAATTATTATCCGATTAAAAAAAAGACCATGTGAATATATCACCATTACACACTAAGATCTTGGTTCCTTTTGATAATCGCGCATATCTGAACATAACTTCCTGGATTATGGCTCCTGATTGTTCGAAAAATCGCATTTTTAGCTTGCACAATTTTTTTTTCCGATTTTAAAAAAATGTTTAAATATATCACCATGCCACCATAATGAAGGGTGAATTCGAATTTCGGGAAAATCGAAATGAAACTGCCTGACAAAATGGCCGCTCTTTGTATGCAAATTGTGTAAAGGTATGCAATATGAAGATCCCAAAGATCTCAGTCCCTTTTGATATTTGCGCATTTCAGACCATAACTTTCTGGATTATTGCCCCTGATTGTACAAAAAATCCTGTTTGTTTTTAGCCTGTTCTCTATCCATCTCTTGCAAAATGTGGGCATATCCTGCCTGGCAGCTGCTGGTTTATTATCAATTATATCTATTTATATATATATTTTGATAACACATACATGTATAATTTGTGTTGATGTATAAAATGCATTTTAGACTAATGTAAAAGTAAGGAAATGAATTTCCATTCTGAAATGGGGGGTTGGATGGCTGAATGGTTAGCATGTGCGCGCTGTACCATAAAGTCTGTCATTGAGTCAACTGGCGTGGTTTTGATTCCCCGGTTGTACGTGACAAGGAGTAGGGTCGCCTGTCCAACCTCATGGGTTTTCTCTGGGTCCCCCGGTTTCCTCCCACTGCTAAAGACCCCTACACGCAAGCAAATTATTGAAATAAAATAAAAACATGTTAGTCCCAAAAAGACCTAGTTTGTGTCGAGTGGACGTTAAACCCGATTTCTCTCTCCATTCTGAAATTAGGAAGCTCTTGTATGTAATATAATTTATGCATACACACAAGGTATTTGAGCAGCTTGTACAGTCATAGTACTAGATGGGTTAATCTGGGTTACACTTATTACTGTGGCACTGGGTAGGGTATAAATATAGTTCATATGAGTTTCTATTGCTAGAAAGCACCAGCTGGTAGGTAACAATGCATTTAGTAACATAATGACTCATGCCTCATACAATTTATAGACAAAAATAGTGGTTCTTCATACTCTTAGTCTTACTGTAATTTATAGTAGTACTATAATTAATACTGGTTCAATGAAATTATGCATAGTACTTTTTAATTTTTCAGGCATAATTCATTGATGAAATTTATTTTTTGTGTTTGTTATTTTTGCTATTCAATCAAAGCAGAACTATATTAAAGGTTTGAGTGGTACATGTACATTAGAAAATCAATGCCTTCAATATATGTAGAAACTGAAATGAATTTATTAATATTTATCTAAAATCAACATCTATACAAAGATATTAGATTATTATGATTACTTGCAAATAATGTTGACAATGGACAAGCGTAACACCAGTTCTTTGTGCATGTACATTTACCTATAATGAGTATTTCTGCACAATTCAGTTATCCTCAAACTTCAAATGGGCTAAATAAATATTAAAGGTGTCATTGTACCTACCCAATAACATAAATATTGTATTATTATTCAGATTCCTATATAATATAATTTAAAGATACATTATGGGAGTTTAGATAAAGAGCTGGCAGTTCTCACTATAATAGTTAAAAACTAGATAATGTAAAGGGAATTTGCTGAAAATTTCAGTCAAATTGATCCAGTTTGAACCGAGAATTTAGCGATTGAATTTTGGACCTAGCCTCAATCATCATTACTAAAGTCGGTACGATAAAATACATAGTCTCGATTGTCCATTTCTTGATTTAATCATAAATGAGCGTAGAGCAGCAGCTCGGATCCTAATCCAGTAAATGTCTTAGGCTAGCGATGACATCGAGAGTTGATTATGGTCTGGATAAGTTAATTAATGTCTAATTAATAATTTAGATAACATTTCAGGCCTAAAGAAAGACCTGCAATAGGCAGATTTAGCTCTTGCATAATGTATGTTTAAAGTTTTTTGTACTGTACAAAATTTATCCTAATTAAATGCCAGATACATTGTAGACTATACATTATATTTGTGCTTTTATACGCCCACATACATTGAAATGTGGTCGTATATTGTTGTCGCCCGCGTCCGGCATCCACAATTGCTTGTGGACACTCTAGAGGCTCAAGTTAATATCCAATTGACTTTAAATTGATACATAGTGTTTAAGGTCATGAGACGAAGAAGTCGATTGATTTTCATCGATTTCCATCACTTTGAAAAATCTTGTGGTTGCTCTAGAGGCTAAAGTAAATATCCGATTTAATTTTAATTTATACACAGTGTTTAAGGTCATGAGATAAAGAAGCCTATTGATTTTCACCTATTTCCGATAATTACTGCCAGAGTTGTGGCCCTTGATCACTTTGAAAAATCTTGTGGACGCTCTAGACTTCAAATTTATGCACAGTGTTTAAGGTCATCCGTTAATTACTGCCAGGGTTATGGCCTTTGATCACTTTGAAAAATCTTGTTTACGCTCTACAAGTTAACATCTGATTGACTTTAAATTTGGTCATGAGATGAAGATGCCTATTGATTTTCAATGATTTCCGATAATTACTGCCCGAGTTATGGCCCTTGATCACTTTGAAAAATCTTGTGAACGCTTTAGAAGCTAAAGCGAATATCCAATTGACTTTAAAGATGGGTTCCCAGAAAAGTATTTATCGGGTTGTTATTTCCAATAAAAGTATGGCAATTTTGGTATATATGGAAAGTAGAGATATCCAATCTTACTAGAAAAATACTGGATTCCCCGAAAAACACTCATGGGGCGTATACAGGACAAAAATGTAAGGCTTCCCCTAATCAACAGCACTACGATTAGGAACTTCTGCACGCTTGATATCAAAGGTCACACGCGAACATTGAGCGCCTGATGTACAAGTTGATAAACTTTATGAAGAGTTAGGCGTACAATACTTTCTGAGATAAAAAAGACGCAGGTAGTGGATAATCCGAGAATTTAATTAGGATTCGATATTTGTAATAAATAGTAAGCGATTAAAGACAACATCGTCTTATGTATGCAATGAATTCTCCTCTGACTCCCAAGACGTGACGTAAACATGACCTGGTTTGATCGAATTTTAATAGCAGGGCATTCCTTCGTAATTACAATGTTTGAGAAGGATTTGAAGCATGATTATGACAAATTAATTAGTTTGAATATGTTTTTGGTCCATATATACCATTAAATCACCCAGTTTGTACACGGGAACCCATCTTTAAATTTATGGCCCCTGATCCGTTTGAAACCGTTTGAAATATCTTATGGACACTCTGGAGGGCAAAGTTAATATCCGATTGACTTTAAATTTATACTCACACAGTTTCTGAGGTCATGAAACGAAGAATCCTATTCATTTTCAACAATTTCCGATAATTACTGCCAGAGCTATGGCCCTTGATCACTTTGAAAAATCTTGTGGACACTCTAGAGGCTAAAGTTAATGTAAATTGTTTAGGGTCACGAAACAAACAATCGAAACAAATTCTAATGATTTCTGATAATTACTTAATAGATTATTACTCTTAATCAGATTTTCATGTGTTGTAAATGTTCTTATTACTGACAAAAGAAAAAATATGCAACAACTCTGGTTGACCGTCCGGATGACTTAGCTGCTGTGGGAATACTATCTTTTAGTTATCTAACATTTTATCTTTTGTGATTTCAGGACCTTTCACTGATGTTATTTCTGCAGATCTAAAATTGACAAATCCTTCAGACAAACGAGTATGTTTCAAAGTGAAAACAACAGCTCCCAAGAGATATTGTGTCAGACCAAACAGTGGTGTTCTGGAACCTAAAGCACATATAACTGTAGCAGGTAATCTATAAAATGTTGTCTTGTTTAGATATAATGATTAAAGTAATGGAATAGTAAATGAATTCCATCGAATTTCTGACATTGATTTGTAAGCTTGCAAAACTGTGTCTGTACCGATACTCTAAATGTCTCTAATTGAAATTAATGCTAGTGTTAGATTTTCTCTAGTTAAAATCAGTCCTGGTGTTTACAAATTTAGAAAATATTGTCAAAATACAGGCATGTAAAGTAATTGCCATACTGTACATGGTATCAGTCACATGAAGTAGTCTGACCTGTGGGACTGTTCCACACACAGTGGACACAGAACAGAAAACCATACTGGAGACCCATGCGACAAAACATGGTCATTGTAAGTCAATAGACAACTATCAAATCAAGCGATAATACTCACTTAAAACATTTTAGAAAAATATCACTATTTTACAGTTATGCTGCAGCCATTTGAATATGATGCGACTGAAAAATCAAACAAACATAAGTTCATGGTTCAAACACTCTTTGCTCCAGATGGACCTATTAATCAAGAACAATTGGTAAGCTTATTTACAGTTTGTTGGTTTCGGAGAATGAAGTTTGGTAGTTTAAGCTTACAATCAGAAATCCATTCAAATTTTCGGCAAAATGTGTGGTTATTTTCTTGATATGAGCTTCCAGTCTATGAACATTGAAATCTTGCTCCAACTTGCAAATCAGTTTATTCTGCATTAGTGATCTGCCAATATGGTTACTGTCGGTTTTACCAACATATATGCTGAGAACAAATCATATCGGCCGATACTGATACAATAGTTCAAACATGAGAGAATGACTTATTCCCAACTCAGATGCTATTTTAAAGGTATTTACTCATTGTCTTTTGATTGGGTTTTAGTTACTCCTGTATCAGGAAAATTGCTGAATATCGGCCAATACTGATTTCTACTGTTATATAGGCCACATTTTGGCCAATTACCGATAATTGGAAAATCACTATTCCTCAATATTATTACCTATTTTGCATCCTTAAAATGGACCCTTCCTATCCCCAGTTTTGCTGCCAAGATTTGTCAATAGTCTCATTCTATCCTTTTGTATAATAATTGTCTTGTTATTTGATTGTTACGTCTGAAGAATTCGTTTAATCAATGTAACCTGAACCTATATTAGGAGGATCCCTTGAGAAGGGATGGGGAGAGAAGGACAACCTTTCTGGGGACCATTTCCAATAAGGAAAGCATATTTCCAAGTTGATGGATGTTAATTCATTTTTGCATAAAGGAGGATTAATACTACTAATAATAATAATGTATATTTGTAAATCCGTCCACAAATGTATGCTCAAGATGCATAATTAGACATTTATATTATATGATTAGATAATTCTATAGTATTGGCTATTCTATAGGATAAAGTGAGAATATAACTGATTTGTAAATTTTCTCAAATTTGTAGTGCACTTTTATTTTTAAAAAAAATAATAGATTGCCTGGAAAGATTTATAGCTTTGATTCTAATTGAGGGAGTGTGGCAAAATTTGATGTATAGTTCCTTACATCAGTATCTTGACTAAATTCCATAATGAGGATTTTCTGCTTAGACTAAGTAGAGATTGGCAAAAAGATAAATGTACAAGTACTATATTATGCAAGAGCCAAATCTGCCTATTGCAGATCTTTCTTCAGCCGTGAAATGTTATCTAAGTTATTAATTAGACATTAATTAACTTATCCAGACCATGATCAACTCTCGATGCCATTGCTAACCTGCAATATTTAGTGGATTGGAATACATTTTTTTGAAAAATAATTAAATCGATAAATGGATAATCGAAACTTTGCTTATTATCGTACCGTCTTTAGTAATGATGATTGAAGCTAGTCTAAAATTCAAAAGCTAATATCTCAGTTGAGAGTGAAGAGATTTGACTGAAGTTTTCAGCATTTTCTATTTAATTTGTCTATTTTTAAACTAATATAGCGAGAACAGTCAACTCTTATCTAATCGCCCAACATGCCCCTTTAATGATTATTAAATTTAAATTTATAAAGAAAGTAACATCTGTACTACAGAATAAGATCCATAGATAGTGGACCATCATCGAAACAGTGCATGTTAACTGTTGATAACCCAGTAATTGTTATTATATATTACTGTGTCAGTATGTTATTCTCCAATAACTAAACGTCACTCGAAAAATCTTAATTGTAAGCATATACTACAAAATGAAGGAAAAAAATGTACATGTACATTGTAATGTACATTTTCCAGAGATGTCACTTCTGAAGCATCTGTTGGTTTAGACTTTAGACATTCTGTTTGATTTTATTTAGTTAATGTCAACTGTTGTATTGATCAGACAAACCTTAAGAAATACCAAAGTTCATTTAGAACTCAGACAAACACTGAACCAATAATTGGATCATCAATAACTGCTACCATGGCCTGAGAGAAAATGTTCATTTTAACTTTAATTAATGTGTATAATCTGACCAGTTTGATGTGGGTTAGGGGCACAGGTCTGTAAATAACAAGTAACTTTGTACTCTTGTGTACTCTCAATGGATTTGACATCCAAGCTTTCAAAAGAAGCCCACTTCATGTTGGCAATGTACTATTAAGTGTTTAAAAAAATGGAATGAATTAAATACACAAAGTAAGAAATTAAAAATAAAAGAATTGTGAAATTATTGAAAATGTATGGCTGTAGTAAAATGTGGATACTGTAGTAATGAATGTAGCCTGGAATCTGTTGAATGAATACTTACATGCAAAATGCTGGCATTATTTCAGTGTGTTGCACTAATAATTTATATAGTAATTTTGATAAACAGAACAAAAAAGGGATGCGTTTTATAAATGAATATCCAAGTACCATTATTAATAACTGATCTAGTAGACAATTGAAACCGGGTGAATGGGTGGTACATAGCTTGACCTTTCTGTAAACTCTTGTTAAATTTGGAAGAAGTCTGCAGTGTGGAAGAAGCTTTTTTTAAAAAAAAACTTTGCATCTATTCAGAAGTTCTTTATTAACTGGCTTATATTCATCATTCAGTTTGCTCTCAAAAGGCTGTTTAGCTGTTACATGTAAATAGAAGTTAGGGGAGGGGGCAGTGATACCAATATCAATGTCTATGAAAGCAGAAAACCAATAATGATATGGTTTATTGCTATGGCTCTTTTGACTTTCAATGTTATATTTTTTTCAGTGGAAGGAAGTCTTACCAGAAAATTTGATGGATTCTAAACTGAAGTGCGTTTTTGAGATGCCAGAATCAGTATGTTGATATTTATTGTAATTTTCAAAAATATTGTCCACAATCTGCCCGTTAATATTTTCTTGTTAGTATGCTTTAGTGTATACAGAATTTCAATAGATAATAAAGATAATTATTTATTACATCCTCAAAGCTTGGATTTTCATAAAAATTTAACAGATGAAATATCCTTATAGGCCTTGGTATAAAAGAATTATTATTTTATAATGTTGATCTGTATTTAAATAGTTAAAAGTATACATTTTGATTTATCTTTTAATAATAATAATAATAATAATAATAATTTATTCATACTTTGAGGCCTTCAGCCCATTGTACATTGTAAAAATTAATTTCATTGAACATGTATACTGCTAAATATGGTAAACAAATACATAAACAATAACATGGCTTGTGCCATACATAGGAAGACTTACAAAGTTAACATTTCACACCTATACAGTAGTGCTTTCTTTATGTATAATGCTAGACTACTTTGACAGGACATATCATTAAATAGACACACCATATTTTCTAATGATGGATTTTGGGACTAGGCTATGAGGTAGAAAATTGTTCCTAATATCTGCTAACATAGGGCATATCATAATAAAGTGGTATTCATCCTCAACCTGTCTTAAATTACAGATTTTACAAACCCTATCTTTATATTCTACACCACTTCTTCTCCCAACTTCAACCTCTAGGTTGTGGGTTGAACACCTTAGTATAGATAAATAGAATCGCAGATATTGGGGCACAACAGACAAATATTCTGCAACTCTTATACCCCTGTCATTAATTTGGGTATAAAATCTATATTTGTTTGATTTTTGTAAATTTGCACTCACTTCTTGTATATTAATATCTCTTAGTCTTTGCTTAAGGATCACTCTAAAGGCCTTAATACTTCCCACCCCTTGAGCTTCCCAAACATAACCAAAACCTATCTCATACAATAGTGAGCGAACATTGGTACACCAGGTTTTACGCCCAGCTTCATCTAAACTGTATAACATATTATAACAATGCCTAGGAAGTCTATCTTCATGCATTTCTTGGATTTTTAAGAAATAGATTATTGGTTTAGCCATATATATTACATGCAATTCATGTCTCCCACATTCTTGTCTTGCCAAGATATTTGGAGTTTTATTTCCTAAATTAAGAATCCACTTGCACAGTTTATTTTGGACAGTCTCAATGCTTTCTCTGGGACATGTACCCCATATTTCTGCTCCATATGTTAATATTGGGATAATCATTGCATCAAACAGTTTGAAGGCAACCTTAACAGATTTATTACCTATCTTTGATATACAATGTTTCAACATGTTTAATGCTTTGGAGCTTTAATTAAACTAACCAAATTATCTTTTAGGATCATATTGAAGCAAAAGTTACTAAACCTGTTGAAACAACAAAAGTAAGTTTTGGGATTTTTATACGCCCACATTTTTGTGTGGACGTATATTGTCATCGCCCCTTTACGTCCGTCCACAGTTTGTTTGTGAACACTTTACAGGTCACAATTTTTATTTGATTTTGATGAAACTTAAAAAATGTGTCTATCTCCCAAAGCTCTCATTTCCTTTCGATATTGGCATATATCGGACAATAACTGCATGGATTATGGCCCCCGATTGTACGAAAAATCACGTTTTTAGCTTGTGGAAACTCTAGAGGTCACAATTTTCATCTGATTTTGATGAAACTTGAAATGAATGTTTATAACCCAAAGATCTTGGTTCCTTTCGCATATCGGATCGTAACTTCCTGAATTATGGTCCCTGATTGTACGAAAAATTGCGTTTTTAGCTTGTCTCTCTAGAGGTCACAATTATTATCTGATTTAAAAAAACGTTTGAAAATATCACCGTTGCACTGTAATGATGCTTGAGTTCGAAAACTGCCGGACAAAACGGCCGCCCCTCGTACCCAAATAGTGTAAAAAATATGGTATATCATAATTTTAATCCGATTTTGATGAAACTTGACATACATGTTTATAACCCAAACATCTTGGTTACTTTCAAAATTCGTGCATATCGGATCGTAACTTCCTAAATTATGGCCCTTGATTGTATGAAAAATCGTTTTTTGTTTAGCTTGTTCTCTATCTATCTCTTGCAGCCGCTTGTTTTTCTTCTTATCTGTTGAAAACTAAATTTGTTTGCTTTTCTTTATGGCACACGTAGGATCTCTCTCAACAAAGTTCCTCTTGTGATCTTTATGATAGAGCTAGCACGAATAACTGCTGCTGGGGAGCCGACAAGAAATCGGGTTTTTAGGACTAACAACTGGAAAAAAAGGTAAAACCTGGGATTGAGCCTATGACTTGCATAGATAACATATTTAACACTTACAGTGAACATGTAAAGCAAGACTTATATGTTGACCTTACAACTGAGAGCAACTGGAGTTTTGGTAACTGGCTTCAACTGAATGGAACTGATAAAGGTTGACTTGAGCGCCTCTTACTACTCAAAGCATCTTCTTCCAGTCAGTTGAAGCCAGTGGCCAATGATTCACTTTCTGCAACTCGAGGCAACTAGTTGCCTTTTACATGAACTCTCTTACAACTGGTGTCAACTTGTTTCCATGGAAATAACTTCACATGATAGGAGACATGTCATGTAACTTTATAAATTCACAAATGGAAGCGAATGCAGGCATCCACTTTACGAATGTCGATGATGTTGACAATAAATAATGTAGTAATAGAATTGTGACAAGACCAACCATGCCTTTTGGGTGCTTCTTCTACGGTATTCTCCGATTTGTTGATCATGTGATGAATGAATTAACAGTTAGTGGAATCGCTATCAGTTCTGTGATGACATGAGAGCTCGGAATTCAGTTGCTGATATGATATGAATTTTATTTAGCAGAGTTCAGGGGGTGACAATGAAGTGAAGAAAGTTATGGAAGATTACAAGAAATTACAGTCTGAATTAAGTCAGCTAAAAACAGAAAATAACCAATTACGAGTATGTATATTATACAGGTCACAATTCTATGGAATACAATTACTGCTTTTTACTGAGCGACGTTTCGACTAGGCTTCTCTAGTCATTATCAAGCTATGATAAAAAATGAAAATATGACAGGACAATATATACATGTACACCACAATGCTAAGTTAATGATGACAAACCAGGGATGTAACTTAATTACGTGTACCTAATGGTAATCTGATTTAATTGTACGCTAATAAGTAATAATACCAATTAACCTAAAAAATTGACTAATTGATTAATGGATAAGTTGTTGTGGAGTATACACAATGATTAGTGGGTTTTAATAATACAAGTGGATGATACCTTTGTTATTATCAATCAACAAGATGATCCAGAAACACTGTTACAACACCTCAACAGGCAACACCCACGTATAAAATTCACAATGGAAACCGAAAATGATAACCAACTACCTTTCCTCGATGTTTGTGTATCTAAAACCAACAACTCGATCCGCACCAGTGTCTATAGGAAACCAACTCACACCGACCAATACATTCACTTCAAATCTAATCACCCGAACAGCGTCAAATCGGCCACAATTTCAACTCTGGTGAACCGTGCGAAAAAGATATGTGATCCTGAGAGCCTCTCCAAGGAAATTGATCATCTCAAACATGTCTTCACAAATTTCAACGGCTATCCAGGGAAGTTTGTGACAAACGCCATCAACAAGACCCTGTCGGCGAGTGCAGCTAAACCAAAAACCCCGACTGCCCCAGTCAGAATCTTCCTTCCTTTCAACGGCAAAGTCTCCTACCAAATCAAACGGCTACTAATGCAACAACCAGAAATAGATGTAACTTTCACAAAAAGCTACAGCACTAAAGATATATTAAGAGCCAATGGTAAACAAAATCCTACACAACCACCACAACCAAAGGGATGTGTTTATCAAATAGTATGCAATTGTGGGATTGCATACATCGGGGAGACAAAGCGACCATTAAATAAAAGGATAGATGACCACAAGTCGAAAGCAGCAACCAACAACTCAGCTGTAGCTGAACATTTGAACTCCAACCCTCGCCACAGAGTCCAATGGTCCAACGTAAAACCACTATGCAAGAATATAAGCAACAAGAGAGCGCGCCGATTACATGAAGCCATTCATATACGACGACACAAACCAACGATGAACAGAGATCAAGGATTGTTCCTTCCCAGGGCGTATGATATTCTTATCACATAATCAAGGCTAAGCATAATTCTACTTTTTTCTTTTTTATCATATTTAATACTTATCAATATTCCAGTAACAACTTTAAGTTTGTAATAACCATCATAATATGCAAAAATGACAACTAATAATTCCCAACTATTTTTGCTTTTCAGGCATTTCTGCTTTTCAGGCCTGCGGTTATTGTAATTTAATGCACTCAATATTTCTAACCCTGCTTTTCTACATCACCATAACATCCAGTGAAGTACCACTCAATATTTTAAATTGTCAGCCTTCAGGGGACTATTGATCATTTGTGCAGTCATTGTTCTAAGGGTTTTTCGTATATCAGTGTAATCACTCGCATCAACATCCACATATCAATTATTTTGGTCATAACACAAATCAAATCTCATCTTCGTGGGATGTTGTCATTATCAAGACCTCATCAAATCGTTGTAAATACTCCACAACAATCTATCCTTTTACCATTTGTATTTATTTCAGTGAAAGGGGTCGTTGATAACATTTCATCAATTTTCATTTTCTTGCAACGTTTGTATTATTAAAACCCACTAATCATTGTGTATACTCCACAACAACTTATCCATTAATCAATTAGTCAATTTTTTAGGTTAATTGGTATTATTACTTATTAGCGTACAATTAAATCAGATTACCATTAGGTACACGTAATTAAGTTACATCCCTGGTTTGTCATCATTAACTTAGCATTGTGGTGTACATGTATATATTGTCCTGTCATATTTTCATTTTTTATCATAGCTTGATAATGACTAGAGAAGCCTAGTCGAAACGTTGCTCAGTAAAAAGCAGTAATTGTATTCCATAGAATTGTGACCTGTATACTCTAGTTCAATTACTAAATGCCATTGAAACAGAGTATGTATATTGTTTGATAATTTGAAATGAAGTCAAGTTTAGTGCTGTATCATGCACCGGCTGTGGGCTAACGATGCCTCTATCGGCATACTTGCTATACTGTGATGTATGAAAAAAAAAAAACACACACATTTTTTTTATAAAAAATCCAGCCTTCAGACTCCTAAAAATATACTAAACAGCAAAAAAACGTCAGTACAATTTCAAAATCAGAGAGACACTTTAATCAAATCATTCTAGAAAATGACTTACTAAATGGATCAAAGCAATTTTTTGTGAACAGTATGTTGACACATTAGTGATTAATTCATCACACTTCCAAGACATTACAAGCAGGTTTAGAGTCTGTACACAGTCTATACATCAGTATCTGGTGTGTCCACCGTGCGTGTCTATAACAGCATAACATTGACACCGTTCATCTGTAGAAAGTCCAGAGTAACTCTGGCTGTGTGGGCACGTGCGTTATCATGCTGGAAAACGTTGTTTCGATGACGTGCGAAATGTGGTATAATGTGTGGTCTGAGAGGTTGATCGATGTAGCGCACTGCTGTGATGCCGCCGCCAAGATTTTGGAACACCACAGCCTCCACTCTCTGGTTCTGGCCAATTCCACCCCAATCTATTATGCTTGGACCTCCCCATGAGTCTCGTTCCATGACACATTGGTCAGAATAACGCTGGCCACGTCGATGCCATATTCGAGTCCTGCCATCTGTAGTTGATATGCAATACCGACTCTCATCTGTGAACAGAATAGTTCTCCATTGCCTGTGTCGCCAGTTCTGGTGTTGTTGGGCAAACTATAGACGTTCACGTCGATTGCGAGGGGTGAGGATCAGTCAACTTTAGGGTCTACAGCAATGGATGTTCTCTCTGGTGAGACGTCAGTGCACTGTATCGGTACTGATGGGTCTTCCGTGTGTTCCCACTGTCCGCTGTGCTGTCTCAGATACCTGTGTGAAGGGATTCTGCACGTGCTGTTGCACAACATGGCGGTCTTGTCGCCTTGTGGTAACCTTTGGTCCACCCCTTCAGGGGCGATCATCCATGGTGATGGTGGCCTGAAAGCGTTGCTGAAGCCTGTAGATGGTAAAAACATTGACCTGGAAGTGAATGGCAACGGCTTGGGCAGTGTAGCCAGCGTCGAGTCTTCCAAGCGCCTGGTACCTCTGAGCTGTCGTAGCATGCTGCCGACGTTGTATTGTGAATGATTCAACCAGGTATGGGGGTGCATTTTATAGGGCTGGTCCTGGTGAACAGCACGTGCAGCATGAGTTACATGAAAATCATAGAGAACACATTACCATCTCAGAAGTCCGGTTGCGTTTTTGAGAACATTTCCTGGGTTCAATTCTGTGTTTGGGAAGGAGGCTTATTGCTCAGGTAAAGTTGGAGATGTGGTCACAAATGTACAATAAAAATATTTGGCAAGTTTTATGCAATGCGTCTATTCAGAGTAACATACCAACCTGACGTTTCTTTTGCTGCTTAGTATATGCTTGTTGGTCAGTTGACATTTGTTATTTTCGCCCATGAAAAGTGAACATCAACAAAAGTAGTGGAAAGCTATCAAGAATCAGAAAAGATCGTTCTGAGCTCATCCAAAAAGAAGGAAATTTTTTTTTACTCTCAGTCACCCAGAACCTCCTAGTCTTCAACTTACTGAGGGTCTGGGACTGTTGTCAATATTTGACGTAAAGTCCATTGCCCATGCGTAGCCTGGAGTTTGGTTTTAAATGTGCTTGATTTTCCAGTATCTTTGGCCAAGTCAAGTAAGAATTGCGCCCTTCCCGCAATAAATTCCATAATTCTTGTATTAATATAAACAAACATGAATCGTGACGACGAATTAGAATTAATTTTAAAAACATGGACCATGAAGAGAGAAATTTTACAATAAAAAAAAAAATTAAGAGTGTTGGATATTGAACTGGCATGCAATCAAATGGATTATTTGAAATGGCATTCTTAAATTAATTTCATGGGCGTCATCATCTTGTTTAGGACAAGTTACCTCCCTTAGACGCTGTGTATGATAATGTAAAAGGCTGGATAATCTAGCCAGTGACCTATTTTTTTCAAATGTTGACGACCCATCGTAGAATATTTTTCTGCATGACAGAGACTAACTTTTTTGGGGTCACTGTTTATTTTGCTAACAAGTGACCACTTTAAAGTCAGTATTTTTTTTTCGTGGACATGTTTTGACAATGATTCTTAGATTTTCTTAACAAAAAAAAAGGGATAGAATCACCCCTGTCCGTCCAAACATCCATCTGTCCGTCCACAATTTGTTTGTGAACTACAGGTCACAATTCTTATCCAATTTTGACAAAATTTCAAATATAGGTTTATCTCCAAAAGATTTGGGTTCCTTTCGATATTGGTATGTATCGGATCGAAACTTCATGGATTATGGACCCAGATTGTACAAAAAATTACCTTTTTAGCTTGTGGACACTCTAGAGGTCACAATTTTCATCTGATTTTGATGAAACTTGAAACGCATGTTTATAACCCAAAGATCTTGGTTCCTTTCGATATTTGTGCATATCGGATCGTAACTTCCTGAATTAAAAAAAACAACAACATCGGAATAGGTCACTGATACACCGTAATATGGTTGAGTTCGAATTTCGTGAAAATCAGACCAAAACTGCCAGACAAAATGGCCGCCCCTTGTTCGCAAATAGTGTAAATATGTGATATATGAAGGTTGTGGACCCTCTAGAGGCCACAATTGTGATCCGATTTTAATGAAACTTGCAATACATGTTTATAACCCAAAGATCTTGGTTCCGCTCGATATATTCGCGCAAATTGGATCGTAACTTCCTGAATTATGGCCCTTCATTACACGAAAAATCCCGTTTATAGCTTGTGGTTCCTCTAGAGGTCACCATTTTTATGTAAAAAAAAGTGTTTGAATATATCACTGTCACACCCTAATGATGGTTAAGTTCAAATTTCGTGCAAATCCGACCAAAACTGCCGTACAAAATGGCCACCTCTTGTACGCAGATAGTGTAAATATGTACATCAAGGTTGTGGACCATCTAGAGGCCACAATTCTGATCCGATTTTCTCTGTCTGTCCGTCTGTCTGTCCGTCTGTCTGTCCATCACACTCTTTGGGACACAATAACTCTTCTAATTGAGCTGAATGTTCAAACTTGGTGTAGGTGTTATTAGGTCAGTGCCTGATGGAGTTTGAATATGAGTTTTTTCTGCTTAGGGTAAGCAGAGATAAGCAATTTGATTGGTTGATGCTTTGGGACACGATAACTTTAGTTCTAATTAAGGAGAGTGATGAAATTTGGTGTATAGTTTTATTACATCAATACCTTGACTATGTTCGATAATGAGCATTTTCTGCTCAGGGTAAGTAGAGCGATAAGCAATTTGATTGGTCGAGACTTTGGAACACAATAACTCTCATTCTAATTGAGCTAGAATGTTCACACTTTACATAGGTGTTTATTAGGTCAATGCCTTGATGCAGTTCGAAGATGAGAATTTTCTGCTTAGGGTAAGCAGAGATAAGCAATTTGATTGGTTGATGCTTTGGGACACGATAACTTGAGTTCTAATTAAGTCAGAGTGAGGACACTTGGTGTATAGTTTTATCACATCAATACCTTGACTAAGTTCGATAATGAGCATTTTCTGTTCAGGGTAAGCAGAGCGATAAGCAATTTGATTGGTTGTGACTTTGGAACACAATAATTCTCTTTCTAATTGAGGTAGAATGTTCAAACTTGGTATAGGCATTCATTAGGTGAATGCCTTGATGGAGTTTGATGATAAACATTGTCTGCTTACTGTAAGCAGAGCTAAGTAATCTGATTGGTTGATGCCTTGGGGCTCGATAACTTTGGTTATATAATTAAGTGAGAGTGATGAAACTCTGAGTATAGATTCATTATATCATTACCTTGACTGTGTTCGATGATGAGAATTTTCTGCTTAGGCTATTAAAGGAATGATAAGCAATTTGATTGGTCAAGACTTTGGAACGTAATAGTGAGGTAGAATGTTTAAACTTGGTGTAGATGTTCATTAGGGGAATGTCTTGACTGAGTTCAATGATTAACATTTCGACCTAAAGCTAAGCGGAGCTAAGCAATTTTATTGGTCGATGCTTTGAGACAAGATAACTTTTATTCTATCTGATAGAGAGTGATGAAACTTAGTGTATGGTTGATAATCAGTTTGATTGCTTGATACTTTTGAATAAAATAAATGTGTGATTAATTAATATGTGTCATCTATTTATTTGGGGATTTCGGCGGGGGACATCAGCCTCACTGTTGGCTTGTTACACTGGAGATATGGTATCGTTTAGAACGGGGTTTTTGACGCTGGAAAGTATGTGTATAGTTTACTTTCAAAACATTGTTCGATAATTGATAAAATCGTTTAAGAATTACAAAAATGGTTTAGTTAGTACTATGGCTTAGTTTAATGGTAACGGGTTTAGTTTCTCCGAGATGCGTTTATAGATGGACGCCCCCCCCCCCCATTCACCTATCCATGGCATTTACTTATTAGACGAGCCGTTCACTTTCCCGAGATACGTTGAAAAATCAACACACGGTTCACTTATCTACAGCCTTTACTTATTAGATGAGCCGTTTAGTGACTGATGATCTTATTAGAAATTCTTCTTTCACAATATTTTAGTTTGCTAGGCATTCCTATTGTGCTAAAATGATGCATTTTGTGAATGTCAAAGTTATAGTATTTTCAAATGTATATTCATTATTCAGGTTATTGAAACAAAGAATCCTAGTGAATTATGATTTATTTAATAGAAAGATAAACTTACTTTTTTCAGGAAGAGGGTGTACGCCTAAGGAAAGTTGCAGTTTCAGAAACAGTGCATTCAACCCCAATTTCAACAACTCCTACTAAATCAGCGCAAGCTACAGGATTGGTGCTGCCTCCTATGGTGTATTTAATCGCAGCACTTATTTTAGGCTTACTGATTGGCAAATTGGTTCTTTAATCTTCAACACAATTATTAGCATACTGTATTAGGGAAGTTAATTTATAGACTTGAGGGTTACTTCCCTTTATGTGAATTCATGGGATATTGAAGATTGAGGTATTTAGGATCAGGAAGAATACAACATAAAACTAAAAGAAAAGAGATGAAAATATATGTAAACAAACTTTGATATGAACGTAACGTTTTGATTTATCAATATATATTTTACTTCCATATTGAGTGTTAATTAAATTATTTTCGACAAATATTATGCCCTGAATGAAACTTGACAGCAGGAGTTTATTAGTTCCCTTAGAGACTGTATATTGACATGATGAATCTTGTAATATGTAGACTGTAATGTATAATAGTGTTATACATATTGATAACAGGCAGTATGAATAACCTGGTTTCTTATTATAAAATGACCAATATCATATATGCATTGCCTTTGTCAGACATACACCTCTTTTTAACAAACCAATGTTTAAGAAATCACAATCACTAATTGCTTTCAAAAGATGAATAGATGTTAAAATGTGAACTACTTGATTAAAATAAGTTTGTACAGTTGAGTGTATATACAATGAAATGGATCCTAATTCCCTTATAACAGCCCGGTATTAAAACAGAAAGAATAATGTAGATAAAAGATGATCATATGCTTTGCATTTATCTTACTAAATGTTAATCCTATTTTCTAAATTTATGTAAGTTTAACAAGAAAAGTCTGTTTCCCTATGAATGATGAACTGAGCGATTATTGTGATAGGACAGTATGAATACCATGATAAGTATAACAATACAAATGTTATTATTTACAGATATTTTTAGTCTTCAATCTTATTTATTTCGTGATATTGTAATTTTTCATAAGCTTTATATTTTTTTGGAAATTTATGGTCTTCTTTCTCCTTTTACATTCAGGGTGTGTTTGATTATAGTGAATCTGATATAAATTAAGAGGTTTAATTTTTTTCGAATAAAACTTGAAATCCAATCCCTTTTTCAATAATAGCATATGAGGTTAAACGCTTTAGATGAAATATTTTTCCATAAATAAGGGAATCCTGATTAAATACAGATCAATCAAACATGCCCAAAGTTTGTTGTCATTGAAATATTTTCACTACTTAATGTGTTTTGGCTTTCATTGATAATAAATAAATGCTTTTTTTTTTTATCTCTTCAGAATTATAGAGTAATTGTATATCAGTCGTTTAATTGAAAAAAGAAACAATAAAAATTAATAATGGAAGAACGGGAAATATTGGTTGTATGAATTCTGAAAAGTTAATAATTTTAACCGATAACTTATTTGAATTTCCTGTTTAAATAGTTATATAGCATTTAGTGTTAGGTAAATTAATTAGCATCCAGTTGTATTTTTTACTCTTGGTTGACCTATAGGATTTGTATGTTGAAAACTTTCAAATCTGTAAATGTCTAGTTCGAGAATTTATTTGTTCACATCAATTTCAGTCAGTTGCTTTGGAATACAATTCCTCAACACCAAATGCTTAGCTTTTGTACAATACAATTTCTCCCTTTAAAAAAGAAAATTAGTGCAATACCTATTGGAAATTAGAAATTCAAATGTTTATGAGTAAGGATAAAATATTGTGGGAAAGTGCTAACAAAGGGGAGCTAAGTCTGATTGTAGATTGATCTCCTATCTTTCTTCTTTGCTTGAATTGTGTATGCAATTATTAATACTTGATATATTATTTGCATCAAGTTATAAATATATTTATATCAGTCACTTTTATTGATATTCTGTTAGGTTTTCTTTTCTTTTTTGTGCATGGGAGATTTAAGTTGTATGTTACATTGTAATGAAAGCATACCAGTACATATTTCAATATTATTAGTTTTACCCCAAGTCCAAAAAATTGCCATTATAGCTTTTATTTACATGATAATTTGTTTCATACTATATAACAGATAATTAATCATCTGGATGTAGATAGAAAATTTATTATTTTAGTTTTGTATATAATTCTGTACAGAGTAACACCCCCAGATTTTTTTTTTTTTGATTTAACTTAAAATTGTTTATTTCTGTTATTTCTCATAGTCTAAACAGTAACTAAAATTAATTGATAAACCAGAAAACATCTTTTCTTTCCTAATCTTTTTTTCCATGAATCATAATTTTTAAAATCCATGTAGTGTATTTTGCAATTGAAGTTGTGAATAGAAAGAAAGTTGTGTATAATGAGATGGAATAAAACAATTGATTACTATATTCTTTTATTTATCTATTATCAAGCAGCTCTAGACGAATTATGTTTGGTATTTTAGTATTAAAAACACAGCAGATGAATTCATATCAGTTTTTATACGCCTAAATTTTCATGTGATATACAATAATTTATAGAATACAATATCAAAAAAACATCAGTTTCAACCACATTTTCATGTGGACATATTATGCCGTCGCCCCATCCGTCCACAATTTGTTTGTGGACACTCTACAGGTCACAAATATAGGCATGTATCGGACCATAACTTCATGGATTATGGCCCCTGATTGTACGAAAAATCATGTTGTGGGCACGCTAGAGGTCACAATTTTCACCCAATTTTGATGAAACTGGAAATGCATTTTTTATTACCCACAGATCTTGGTTCCTTTCGAAATTCGCACATATCAGATTGTACCTTCCTGAATTATGACCCCTGATGTTTGGAAAAATCACATTTTTTAGCTTGCAGATTCTCTAGAGGTCACAATTTTTTTTCCGATTTTAAAAACCGTTTAAATATATCAGAATTCCAACATAATGAAGGTTGAATTCGAATTTCAAAAAAATTGAAATGAAACTGCCCAACAAAATGTAAAAGTATGTAATACTTTATTGCTCCTGATTGTACAACTTTTGTTTTTAGCTTATTCTCTATCCATTTCTTGCAAAATGTGGGCCTATCCTGCCTGGCAGCCGCTGGTTTGTTAAACATTGAATTCTTCCAAGTATTGAGGTTTTACCTCACTAATTATATATCATTGAATCTGGTATTATTTGTTGATGTAAAAATCTGAAAAGCATTCCAAATCTCATTATAATATATCAATCAAGATACTGAACGGATTAGATTATTCTGAAGAACATCAGCCAAACATCAGCGGAGGATTAATCTTTCTTTTGCTGAGAATCGTAAATATTTAATGTCAACAAAACTTAATTTACAAAAAAATCCTAAATGTATCAGCAAAACAGAATGTTTTAACTACAGAAGATTACCAATGATTTGCTAATCCGCCAGTCATGCACAGAATATGGGATATGTGTCTAAAATATCTTGGAAGACATTGAATACTTTCTTTTGCATAAAATCGTGGATTGCAGTAGCATGGGTAGACTACGACGTTAACACAATTGATCTCGTATATCAAAGCTAATGCTAACATACATACCGTAAATATGCGTCTCTAATGTATTATACTAGAATAATATCAACAACAATAGTGTCAATGGGATTGAATGCATGCTGGATGTGGCTGCCACCTATTATCCTTACAAAAACCAGTTATGTTTAATGGATTGATTTCATTATCACCTCTGGATTGTTAATCCACCCGTTACCTATTGTAATTACCATCTTATTATAGTGTCTATTCATGGCACAAGGGATTAAGGTTATTACACATCAATAGGGACTTAAATTATCTACCTTAACACTATTCATGAAAACAATGGTTTCTTTGAACAATAAAAATAAGTACATAATTTAATTAGAACGTCTTGGTACATGCTTAGGATATGTAAAATTGCCTGGAGCAAATATGCATACATTTGTGGAATGGGGTAAATTATTACATCGTTTCCCTGCCTTCAGCCCTCCCCAAAAATGTTTTATTTCAAATTCATGAAATTTAGTTCATTATTTACACACAAACCATTTATCTCCTGAAAAAATCTAAAAGTGTTTCAAGGCTGAAGGGTCTGTGGCATGCAGTGAGGGCCAGAGGGGACAGTGTTCCCCTCCCCATCTATTTTTACATTTCTTAGTACTAGGACTTATACTGGATTCTTAGAGTCATACAATTGAGCAGCTGTGCCTAGGCATCACCAAACCTCTGTATGCCACTGTGAAGAAGAAATTAGCCTGGATACACATCATAAAATATAAACCATTGTGCGGGTAGGGTATTTGTTTTCAACCATTACATTTGACAGGCGATAATGTTCTTTCATGGGGGTTCTTTAAATTCTACTCGTATTTATAAATAAATATTTTCTGAATATGATTAATTTAATGACATATATTTGATAGGCAAGGCAATATATGCCAAAAAAAAAATTATTTGAAGTCAGTATCTCTAATCATAATCTTTTGATTCCTCTAGAGTGCATAGGAATTTTAATAAATTATGTCGTATTGTTTCAGTAAGTGCTCACGCCGCCATCTATATCCATTTCAATCGCCCACATAATGTATTTGTATTAAAAAAATTGCAATCATTATAATCCTACTATCGGATGACAGGTACCTGAAACTGTTTATAAAACCTACGAACTATTCAAATCCCTTTGGTGAAGAGTTGTGTCCCCTGATGGTTATTGGCAACGGTACACGCGACTATTCGCTCATTCAGGCAATTACAGTTTGACATGACTGCCATCGAAATATGGCGAATACCGCTTCGTCGCGATCGGAAATAAGTGTAAAAGACCAGTTATCTTTGTATGACATATTGAAAGTTTTTAATAATCCCATAAATGAGGAACAAGCATGGGCTATATGTTATCAGTGTGCTCAGTATTTTAGTGTTAATCAACCACAAGTGAAATTACAGGAGTTTTTCTTATATGGAATACAAGCATTACGATTGAGAAAAGATGGTGAGGTTATCATTGATACCGCGGCTAATGCATCGGGATCTTCACCAACGCGTAAGTATATTATTTATGCTAAGAGTATGATGTATTTTGAATTACATGAAAAGGAATTTATTGTAACTGTGAATCATTTAACGGGATTATTAAGTTTGTTATTATTAGCATGTATATGGCAAACACAGCCTCAAATGTCCTCCGTATAGCGATACAAGCTATAATGTATAATTTACTGGGAGTTATAATTCAAATACTGCCCACCTTTATATTTCTTATCACCCGTTACATACACAAACAATTCAAAATTTCTGCGTTTGTCTATATCAAATAGTTGGATAGAATTATTTGACAGACAGTTTGAATAGATAATTATTGTTTTCTGTTGTTAATGAATAAATCTACATTATACAAAGTGAAACATGTACATGTAAATATTCTTAATCTTGATGTTACAAATCCTTTCACTGTTATGTTTTTCTTTTATTCCAAGATTATTTGTGTGATTTATATTTTGCTTTTTCCCATATTCTTGAATATTATATGGGATTATTAATACATATTTTGCCCATCAACATTGATATCTTCACTGAATATAATGTATCTGAATGCAGAGTAAGATAATCATATACAATATCTTATCTATATATATATACCACAAACCAATAGCTATAAAAATAATGCTTTCTTTGATCCAGGGTTTTCTGAACCTTATTATCTCAATCTTGTTACATTGTATTGACATCAGATTGATAATATTATATAACTCCTGTATTTAATAACTAAGCCAGTAAATGATAAGCTATGTAACAAGATAAAACATTAGAAAACACCCTTTTTATTTTGGCTTCATATAATTTATAAAACAAACAAGTTAAGCAGATAATTAACATTAAAAATTTAAATCTCTTTTTAATTGACAGCAAAGAATAAGTTTGACACCAGTTGTAAATCAGAAGGTAGGAGTCTTGTCCTGTGTTAAAATTGGTGTATTTAATATGTTATTCCATGTTTTGTTGTGATTTATTTAATTGAATTTAGTTAATCACCCGCATGTTACAACTGTAACACAATTGATGTAATTTATATGTTGTGGTATCATTTTTATTAACCAGTAACAAAAACAAAGAATGTAATATGTGTTCTGCCATTATGTGATTGATCAGTTCGTACATGTCCATGTATTTTATAAATGTACAGATTGTCTTCAATATCACCTGACAAAACCTAGATAGATTTGATCATTAAAATGTACATGAATTAGTAGTAAACTATCTACAAAATTTGTCATGAAGTGAACTGAATTTGTTTCAAGAGATATGACATGGAGCTGCATGAATTTGTATATGTTATAAAAATAGAAATTATTCATGGTTAACAAGCATAGACATGATTACAGTATATACAATTAATCACTTGGGCCAATATAAATTAATATATATCATTTGTGCTTATTTTTATTTACATATTTATTTGTAATATTATGTTATATTTCTAGAAATAATTGTTATCAATTATTGATAGACTGATAAAAAGTAATTGATTGAGAAGTCCAGACAGTATCAGTATTTTCATTCAAAGAAAAGTAGCTGAGTTCAACACCTCACTATAGCTTAACGAACCCTTTGGCAGAAGTTCCAAATCAATGACTGGTTACAATCAATAATTTGCGGTTAAAATTAACATGCCGATCAATACAACTTGCCAGCTTCTATTCTACAATCCTTTTGTATCATCACCCAAAGAGTAGAATACTATGTCATTTAGAGTGATAAAAAATGAATCTTTGATCTATATGTTTAAACACTGATGGATTTAATTATAGATATGTTTAAAGTAGAAACAGATATTTTATACTTTCTCTAACAAATTTATTTCATATCATTTTACATTAATTACTGGCATTGCAAATTCAAAAAAACAGGGTTTTGGAAAGGATTTACATGTAGTTGTCAAAATAAAATTTGATGGCCAGGTTGCCCCGGCTGGTCTTATTTGTTGATCAGTGTTATTTTTGTAGTGTATATTTGTTGATTTAAATTTGATGGTTTCTAAATTTTGGACATTGGACTAGTAGATTCATGTGATATGAACAGAAAAAAAACCCAGTCATAAACAAATTAGCAATAGACTTATAGGGAGGGTGTCATTTGTGAGCCGGTTCTTGTCTTATTTGATAACAAAAGTTAGATATTAAAATACCAATCTATTGTCACATCTTGAGTAAATAAACTTTTATTTAAATTTGATTACATGTATAATACATGCATGTTCAGATACTGACCATCATATCCAGGGACTCTTATTTACCAATATGACCTGATTTACAGTCCGTTTCACTGAAATTATATCTGTACAGTCTTGTCTTTGGAGCATGCATGTAATGATTTTATATTTACATATTTACAGTACTTTCTTGTAAGATAGTGTGGGTGGGTGGAGGGCACGTTGGCTAAGGGGGTAGCCTGGAGATTGGGTGTTCGATTCCTTCATTGGCGAGAAAGTTCATCTAGATTTTCCGGCGTGGTTCCTCCCTTGTCAGTGATGCCAGACGGAGGGCCTGACAAGGACAGCTGTCTAGTCGTTCGGATGGGAACGAAAACCAAGGTCCTGTGTGCACATTGGCGTGCATGTAAAAGATCCCTTGACAGTTGGAATTCGATATAAGAGTAGGCTGTAGTGCCACTGTCCAGGCAAAATTCCCCTCATAGCACACTGTATGGCGTAGGCCTGTCTTCATTAGCCCAGTTCGGAGCAGAACAGTAGGTCGTTAAACCCCATTTCATTTGTAAGATAGTGGCTGTATGTAGTGCTCATTACATTTTGAATTTCAAGTTGGAATTCAAAAGCTTTTTGTATATTGTCAACAGAGATACATTTGGGATTATTTATGACCAAATTTAAAATTTCTAGTTTAAATCAAGATAAAGTATTGTTATTATTAAATTATCTAATATTGCCATTGTGGAGGTTTGTTTTGTGGACATAAAGAGATACTGCAGGATATTTATAGGTCATATTTTATCACCAATAGATCAATGTTTACTATTGAAATACCTCCTTTTTTTAAAAGCTGATATATGTTGACAAAAAAGTCAATGTAAACAGTATTAATATTCACCAACAAACTTCTAATCTTCAAGAAAGGAAAGCTTGAAGGGGAAAAAAACATCCAAAGATGCAAATATTTAGATGTGGCTTTAAATACCCTGCTATTTCAAGTTTCAACAAAATGTTTTACGACATTGGTGCTCCATATTCTATTTTCAGTTTGTTACTGTAGAATGTTTTTTCCCCCTATGCACCGGATATTATATTCATAGTCTATTAATATCATCCATGCAAATATATAAAGATATATTTCTGCTAAATATACATCAAAATTATTGTGAAAAAAATATATGTTGCCTAAAACATTATATTATGTTACTAGATGCTTCACGTGAAACATTTTTTATATAATACAGATTTGAAGAAAATTGCTATTCTGAATAACTCTATTTGAAATACTGTGTAACATTAAACAAGGTTAGGATGAGTCCCTGATGAGAGCATGTTAGCGGCTGCAGTACTGTAATAATTAACTTATTTAACTTATTATGGGTTTATTATATAATTTGATTTGATAATTCAGTTCTTATGGTCATTGAAAATAATGAGATACTTTCAGATAAAAATACGTTTTGTGGGTCTAATATAATTGAATTATTTATACTTGAGAGAATTTATCTTTAGTGTGTTCATATGCATCTTAATGTACCTGATCAAGAAAATTTAGTTGAATAATTGCTTTAAATGCAGTTAATATTCAGTTTGGGAGACAATCGTTTGAAGATATGTGACCACTGCTGCTGCATGGTGGAGACAAAAAGTAAACAAAAGTGTTTGAAAAGGATTTGTTGTGAACCCTTGAATCAAACAGAACAGTGAGGGGTAAACTAGGGGCTCAATAAAAGCTTATTTCTGTTTAGTTTAATGGTGACCTCAGACCTCAGTCACTATTAGCTGGTTAATATTTGGACAAAAGAGAATAGAAAGTTGGGCTTTTACATGCTTGGAGGTCATTATTTTGTCTGACTAAAACAGAACAATAGAATTCCCCCCTTCCTGCTGAGTTCATTCAACACCTTTTTGATCTTAGTTCTTGTGACATTTTCTGTCCCCCCACTGACATTCTTAAAACCTTTTTCCTCAAGTTGTCAAGATGATGAATGGGGTAGTACACCACAAATTTCAACTATTTTATTCCTATTATTGAAACATAAAAGTAAACATAGGCCCACAGGCTGGTAAATAGAGTAAAATAGATTTGGAAACAATTACAACATTTTGCTCTATTATTAATCTCTTATGGCATTGAGGGAGGAGCTTATTGAATGTTAAGTGTACTATCAAATATAGATTGAAAAGTTCACAAATAAGGTTGCTAAATATAAACTTTGAAAATGTAGAATTATGTAAATGAGAAAGCACTCCAGTTCAGTGAACTGAACTTGTTATACTATAGTGAGAAATTGCGTTATATATTCCATACAAATTCAAGGTTTGTGGTAAAGGTGACTTAATACACGTCTCCATATATCATAGTTGTTTTATCTGCCTACTAGATCTTTATACATGTATTGAATAATAGAATAATAATAATAAAATTTTGACTGAATTAATGAGATATACATGGTAGCCATAGGGTGGGTAATAAAAACTCATATTTTGACAGGTTGGGTTTCAGGTATCAGGTGTATTCTTATAGTTATACACTAAGTCACCAAGTTTATAAGAATTTTAAATAGTACTGAGTACATTAACATATTACAACTCACAGTAACCCAGGTATCATTTAATCTTGTGTATCTAGCACTAATTTCTTTCACATTCGGTTAATATCCAATCTTTGTTTAAAAATTCGTAAAAATCATTTAAAATCAGACAATATCATCTAATTCGTTCTCGAATAGTTTAGAGATTAATTAATAGCTGAAACCGTCACTGTAACCCAGGTATCATTTAATCTTGTGTATTTAGCACTGATTTCTTTCACATTCGTTTAATATCCAATCTTTGTTTAGAATTTTGTAAAAACTGTTTGAAATTACCATAAATCGTTTAATTTGTACTTCTGTCCAGTTTAAAGCTGACCATTCAGTTTTGATAATGAGTGTCCAATTTACAAGTGTCAGTTTTGTTTTCTTTAATTGCTGTTTCATGTTTAAACTTTTCAAACAAAACATTCCTTACAATGATACAAAATATGCTGTATATATGTATTTTTAAGTTAAGCCACATCATGGTCAAAAATGAGTGACATGTATCATACTATATGAAAAAACTCACCAAATTCTGTCATTCATAAAATATTCACGATCATTTTATTGTTTTCATGTTTATGTGGGTTACACGCATCTATCAGGTTTATGTATGGAGTATGAACCAAATGGCTTTATCTGGTTTTCTGGGAATGCTCAAATGATTACTGTGTAAATTGATTAGTGGTTTCTTACTATTGCCAAACATGAATTGTGTAATTTTTTCAATGATAAACATCTTTTTGTCTTTACAAAAGTTTTCAAGTATTGTTAATTTATTTTGAAATATACAGGATATGGAATACATAATTTTAGATGAAGAAGGTGTTCCTGACACTTGTTTTTCAATACTGCTAATTTAAACAATGGCTTGAACATATATGTCACATTGTAAAACGAATAGGAAGTAAATAAGATTTGAAAGACAGTTAAAGGAATGAAATGAGGTTTAATGGGTTTCAGCACCAACTGTGCAACGTGCATATGCCATTGGGGGAAATTTGTCTTGATAGTGTTTCTGCCTACTCTTCATCAAATTCAAACCGTGAAGGATTCTTTTACATACACAGGACCTCATTTCTTTTGTCCCACCAGAACGAGTGAAGGGAATATGTCCTAAAATGGATGGTTGAAAATAGTATGATATTTAAAAAGTTAGACTTAAAAGGGAAAGACCTGCTCATTTAAAAGAATCAAGTGCTCAAAATTAACCTCATCAAACCCATGCTATAAGATAAACCAGCCAGAGTAATTGGCTGCTCCATAGAGATCATGTAGATGCATATGTACTCAGTTTTCATGTAATGATCAATCATCCATTATAACAATAAAAGAATGAAAAAAATGGGGAATTTGGTCATTTGGCCCAAACTATGAACATCCATATGACAAAAACAGGAAATACTGTGGTGCCAAAGTAGTTCCTTTTAGCTGCAGCATATTCTGATAGTGCCATATTATATTAGAAAAATACTAATTTCGAGGACTGCAAGTCAAATCTCCAAAAACATTATTCTTATGATGTACATGTACCAAGAATGAGAATGGTAAATTAGTCTGACCCTATTTCCTATAATACTTTGTGGCTAAATGTCAAAATTGTTTTTTTAGCTTCTGAAGAAAGCAATATTGTGATGTGAACAATCTTACATGTGGTACATGTGTGTTTATCTTGTTCAATAAAGTCATAAAATGATGTCATGATTGAAAAATCAATAGAAATTTACCATGTGCTGCTAATATTAGTTATCCCATGTATGGATTCTATACAAACTAAATCAAATTATTTCTAATATCTTACAATGCCAATTGTAAATTTGAATGCCAATTATGCTTCTTTCAAACATTTCTATAAATTGTTTGGTCACAGTGTGGGTAGGCATATGTCTGACATTTTTGATTCTGATTGAAGTCACAATAGTGTATACTACATGTATATAATCATAATCTCAAATATAAACTATGTGGGGAAGAAATTCCAAAATAATAATCCAGTTATTTGACATATTCAGTAATCTTTTAGCTGTAAATATGTAAGTAGTAGGTTACTGGAGCTTTGTAACTACATACACCTATTAATATTATCAGACAAGCAAATTTATAATTACAAAAAATGTCATATCTTATCAGAGAATATAAAAGAGATTTCTATTACACAGTATTATATTTTATCTACCCCCTATATCTAGATATCTAAGATCATTAATCATTTTTACTTACTTGAGTTGTGCCATTGAATGGTATAGTATTGTTAATAGATTTATTATTATTAAAGTACCGGTACTTTTGTATAGAACCCCCCCAGCACTGGCACAAGGTCATCTTTATTTGCCATTAATTGTGGCCCAGAAATGGACCAGTTGACAGCGACTAATGTACCGATATGAAGGCTATTGCTACAGTATTTTCTCAAAAAATATTTTATAAAAGTTGGAAGCTGTGAATGGTTCGCATACATATAAGTAAAAATACTTATATTACAGTAGTCGGTAGAAGCAATTTCATTCATGCATTTTCAATGTAATATTTTTTCTTACAAAGGAGAATGTACATGTACTGGTATTATACTGATACTTAATTTTATGAAGCACTAAATAAATATAGCAAAATTTAGTTGCCAGACAAGGTACAGAAAATACAGCTTTGACTGCCTGGAACAATGATAGTACTATATGGCCCAGGAACTGAGCATTACGTCGTCAGTGTCATCCGGGAATTGTAACGTCATCAAGAATAAAAATCTGTCAATCAATGTGCAATTGTCCAAGGAACAAGCATGCCAAGTGTCATGTCAGTCAAACTAGAATTGACAGAGCTTAGGTTTTTTTTAGAGAGTGTTGTCCCCAAGAAGAACAAGAAGATGAGTATAGTGCTCTTGGACCAGTTCCTGTTCCATTTTGAGAAGATATTAGGCTCAGTTTATTTCATTTAAGGTTATGGATTTTAAATTTGAATGAAAATTGTCAGTTATGCCCCATGTTCCTGAAGCAACGACTGCGAGTTTCACAACATCTGGTCATTGCTTGTTTACTTCACAATTCCCGAACTTATAGCTATGTTATCTACAGACATGTGAGCAGTAGTGTCCAATCAGAGGTTGTGACATCGCGACCTCCACGGAAACCTTGACATTGAATAAACCTTGAACTTTGCAACTCGATTATCACAGGTAGACATTTTAGCTTGAAAGCGCGAGACTTGGTATTCGCGACGATCGAGGAATCTGATAGGCTCACAAGTTGGGCTTGTACCCAGTCGAAATTAGTGCCGCAATATGCAGGGTATTACGTGAAGGCCTTGAAGATGTACATAGTTAAAGCGAGATCAAGCCTTCTATTGAAGATGGTTATGCCCAGACTTATTGTCTTTGGCATAGAAAGAGCTTTTTATCATCAATGTATTTCATCAACAAGCTATTTGTTATCCACAAAGCAAAGGTTATTTTTTTTCCTTCTTGAAAATATTGAGATCTATATGTTTGATTGGCAGGATTCCAATTTATTATTCAATTATATTAATATAATTACATGTACCTACTATATGGTGTTATAAGCTAATATAGGATTGTTAAGTATCAATAGATTATGATTCAATATGGCTTCCTACATGTTGTATGTACATGTATGTATGCAATGATTATGCTGTAATGATAGTATTATCCACACCTACATGGCTTGTCAGATGTTTTTATTCAAACTTTAAATGTTTGTAACTTGTGTAATAATTTTTAGATACAATGCAGGAAAGCTTGTTAATCATTTTAGACATTTGTCAAAGTCTTTACAAAAAATGATACTTCTTTTCATGTACGAATATATCATAACTTCATTGTTTGATTTTAGACTAATATAAACAGAATGGAATGGGGTTAACATCTCATCATCACAATACTTCTGTTATGGATTTTTTTCTATGGACACATGTGCAGTGCTATAGAAGAAGAAGAAGAAACTTTATTGCATAAAACAACCATAGAGAGTTTTCCCAGACAGAAGCATTTATGTCTACTTTTCTTCAAGTTTCAACCGACAGGGTTCTTTTACATGCACTCATAATCCAAACAACTAGGCACAATCCTCCTTGGCATACTCAACTCAGGACATTTTCATCAAGACTACAAAAGACCCCCCTAATAAAAATAAAGTTTCAAGGGAAATTTTAAAATATATAATATTTTTATTACTGAGAACGGAAATCCAAATACTGTATTGTATCTTTTATTCTTTCATTATGTTACAATACAAAATTTGCTAATATCTTTCACCTTATAACACTACATAACCATGGATAACATGTTCAAATATTGTACCACATTCCAACACTTATTTATTCTACACGACCAATGAAGGGTAAACAGCTCAATGACCACTTGGACAGTTGAGCCCTTTTGCCCTATATTGACCAACACACAAAACCAACCATTATAGAAAATCCACTGTCAATATGCTTGAAGAAACAAATCAAAGTTATGTCAATATGAATTTAGTACTTTTACTTTTTATTTCTTGAGGTAGTAAATCCATGTTCACTTTTTTTGATTATGGATCTGTTTGGTTAAATTTTATTGTTGGAACATGTTTTATGCTATATAAGCACTGAAAGATTTGTCTTAGTACTATTGTGTATCCACCTAGAAGCTTTGAAATACAATTTATATTGTATGTTTTACCTCCATGTATGGTGAAATTGATCAAATGTCTCAAGTACAACTCATGAATAATTAAATTCTGCAAAGCAGACCAGGAAATATGCTTAGATCATGAAATAGGACCATAAACTATATCTCCACAGGGTCAGTGCATGATGTTCATTATTCAACTTCACCCACAGTTAAATGTAGCATGTTTGTACCATTCACAATGTATGTCATCACGTAAAATACATATTCCAAAATATTTCAAATTCATTAAAGTATGTCCACCGACCATCCACAAACCTTGTATGTAACAGGATAAAAAATACCTAGAATATTATGGAAGGGATTCTAATTTAATGAGTTACTAACTACAACACCAGTAATATTTTTATGAAACATATTTTTTAATGATATAGAATTCTGTTGAAAGGTTCAAGGGAACAGTTTACGAAAATATTTTTAATACACCTTTATCTTATGGATGAATTGTTGCTTTTGATGTTGTGTCAGTAATAATTAATATTTTTTAATTTTTGTAGGGAGAAGTTCCATTTATCACAGAAAGGGATGTATAGCAACAGAAGGAGATGTAAGTATTATTTGCTTTAAAATGATCTACATTTCTCTTAGGACTTATTTCTTATGGTTTAATTCACGCTAAATATGTAGGCAACTCATATTGATTATTTAACATATAATAAAGAAAACTAAATCAAAATACAACTCTAGACACTTTAAACTAGACCCATTAGGTTTCTTCGCTACCTACAAAGTTGGTGACGTCTTAGATGAAATTTCAATTTATCATAACTTTGTAAATACTGAATTGAATACTGAAGTGAACCATTTTTTTGGATTGATATTTCTATTAAAGATTAAACTTGCACACTATTGTAGTTTGCAAGGGATTCCTATCACTAAATGACACATCAAGCCTTTAATATATTATAGTTCTGTGATTGTTGGTGCTATAAAATGCCCCATTGATCCAGTGATGTTAGGTTAGTACCATTAGTACCTACATGTTAGTCCTAAACCCTTATTAAAACAAAACCTGTAAGTTCCTCAGTAAACTTATGTGGTATTTTTATGATTGATCCCACCAATACACTTACAAACATTCAAGAATATTGGGTCAATTAATTAAGCTACAGTCTGCTATAGTACATGTAAATGTATAATGAATCTTGGTGACAAACAGTGCAGGAAGAATGGTCCAATTTCTTAGGTTACACTATTGCTTTATAACTAAAAGTTGAAATATGAGATATTAGTCTAGTCCACCGTACTGTTATCTTTGATATGTGGGTAATGTGAGACTAAATCCTGTGTTTGTGCCTTGGTCACTTCAATCAATTTGTTGATTGTGTTCTTTATTGACCATGAATGCTACCTGTCCTTGATGAGAAACGTGGAGATTTTCATTGTTTACTTATCTTTCACATAGTTTATTGACCAATGTTTATGATTCTCCTATACTTGAAGGAGATCAAGTCTACTAGAAAAGTGGTAATCTAAAACCGATTAAAGGAATTTTTGTCAATCTCTTCCTTTTGCTAAACATGACATGAACAATAAATTATAAGATCAATTTGCTTTATAATATGATAATTCAAAAATATTTATCAGTGAAATTAAAAGCAATGTTTATTCACTGTTTACTTTTAATACTAAACTGATTGCTTATAAGATAATATACCAGTACAAAGATTTGAAATACATTAAGTCAAGAGAATTAATAAATCCTAAATTACATTTCATATTTCAAACGGATATTTTTTTTTACAATTTAAAAACTTTTCTCAACATGACACAGTATTAAATTGTAAAAAAACTACTGTTTAATGTTGGTAAAAATACTATAGCAAGAAAAAATGTCACTAAGTGAGAAATAATGTCCATTAAAAGAAGGTTATTTAGTACTCTATCTAAGCCATGTTTTGAGCTGTACCAGTATTATAATACTATAAATATATGGAGTTTGGAGTAGGTCCGTGTGTGGGTCGCTTTAGTTCATATAGTTGGCTAATTCATCACTCAGATCTATAGAATACTCTAATAACCAATAATGCGTTTCTGATTCCTAGACTGATAAAAACCCTCACAAATGACAAGTGTAGTTTGTACATCAAGGTGTGACATTCTTATTAGACATACCTCACTAATAATAACCACTACACATACACTCATATACACATAGTATACCAAGCATACTAAAAACATTTTATGTATTTAAACCTATAGTGGGTGGAGGATGTAGTTAAAATTGTACCAAGTTGGCCCCTTTATATCAACCAATCTAAAGGTGTAAGATTGTATTGAAACCCATTGATTCGAGAAAACCAAAACTATGAAAACTTTCTTTATTTCTTTTTAATTGACATTATTTCTATAGAAAAATTAGAGCTTATGGTTTCTAAGGAAATGCTGAATAACTGATTAAAAGTATGGTATATTGGATACATGTAAGCAATAAGCACCAGGTGTCCTCCAAAATCTAGGAGTGGAATGGGGCTTCATTTCTCATTTCAGAATAACATTTGTTCATTTTTATATCTAGTTACATGTGGAATGGCCATAGTGGGGTGAGGATTTTACCTAGACAGCAGTAATTTTGCGTACTCCGGAGTCTTCTTCAAATTCCAATTGCCAAGACTACTACAGGGACATGAATAATAATACCATCTGAATAACTAGACACACTTTTCTTGCCCACACCAGATCAATATACTGGTAATTAAAACACTTGTAATATACGATATACCCTGCAATAAATGACCTACATTGTGAATAAATGATTTATTTAATTACCCTTCGTTTGTTTTCAGGCTGTACGAGCACTGGGAGCAACCATTTTCAAAGCATTGGATTATGGCTTGCATGAAAATGAAGAACGTCAATTGAGTCATGACTTAGAGAATCTCATTGAACTTATGACCCATTATGATGAGGAAGAAGATGAATCTCAGACAGCAGATGATGAAGGTATTGAGAAAGATGCTGAAGATGAATATGAAAGTCGAGATGTACAACAACATTGTTCTTTTATAGAGGTGTCTAAGGTAAGATGATGTTACTTTCTGTTATTATAGAACATCGATTTAGACATTTTTGAGAGAGCAAATTGAGGTTTGAGGCCTATTTAAACAACATGATGATGTTCATGGCCTGTTAAAAATGGTGGACTTGCTCACATCGAAGCATTAACCATAGAACTATCTGACCAGGTACATGTAGTTTAGAACACTAAACTTAAAAACTGAAAGATACATGTAGCAACTGTCTTGTCAAGCCAATAATTTTACTAATTCTCAGAACAGCCTAAGGATATTGGATAATTTAAAGAACAATTTGTTGTGAAAATATGCTTTGATGTAGAACTAACCCAGTTTCACCAAGCAAGACACATTAAGTTGTGTTATTGGAGCATGAATTAATTACCAGAATTTGATTACTTGAGAACTAAACCATGTCCAAGTATGTATAGTAGGTCAGTCAACAAATTAAACAGATCTTATTGAAATATGAGAGGTTACACAAATTGTCCACATTGAAACTTAATCTCTCTTCTGTTCATCAAAATATCTTATACAAAGGTATCAAAATCAGAGTAAAAGGGCATAAGCTTGTCAAAGATTTAGCAAATTTGGCTAATAAAATCTCATCTGAAAGATTGCGTGAGTAACGATTAATGTAATGAACTTTCACCCCTTTTATACACATTTACAAACTGTAAGTTTATTATTTCATATTTTTCACTGTCAGAAATTATATAAAAAATTATAGTTACCTAAGAATTTGTTTTAGGTCGTCTTTAAGTCTATAAGATCGTGAGAATAATTTAACAGTCAAAAGTGACATTGACTGCAGACAGTAGACTCCACATGTCACCGTAAACTTAAGACTATTTTATTTTCATAATTTATATGTCGTGAGACTTGTGGTTATATATACCTGCAGATGTATATTTAGATCAGAGTTCCGCATTCGATGAATTAATCAAAGAGATACTATCTTTCAAAATGATACATTAGTTACCCCCAATACTTACAGCTGAGGATATGCTTTATATACCAAAAAGCATTTAATTTAAAAAAACCCAAAATGGTCATTTGGATGGAACACATGAAACCATAGTCCAAAAAGAATTTAAAAATCAACCTGTGTGAAGTACTTGTGCTCTATTATAAAGTATTACACCACTTTCCTTTTTAAGCAGATATCAATGATTCTATCAATTTTTAGAATAGAATGTACAGATTTTGGAAAGTTATAGTAAAGGAAATATACAAGTTAAATTTGTTTTTAGACTACATTAAAATTGGAAGATAACAATTATACATGCAGCAGTATTGTAAATACATACAGTTGTACAAAACATTGAGGGCTTACAGGGTAGATAACATATATTGTAAGGATTAACATGTTCTGTAGAATCTGTACAATGATAGAAAAGGTTTTTTTCTAGTAGGGTAGAATGTAGATGTAATTATCAGTGGTATATATTGTCTAGAGATGTAATCAGTGTCTATAACCTGTAGCAAGGTGAAATAATTAGTCTACATCAAGTTGTGCTGTATACTTCTTATGTCATCGGTTGAGCTGGTTTTAACACTCTCTTGTCTAATCAATGTGTTACTTACCATGTTACCACCAAGTCAGCCATGACATCAATTTGCCGCATTTGACTAAAATTATTCTGTACATTGTTTATGTTTGAATGAAATTAGTGGAACACATTCATATTTTCAAACTTTTCCTAATACATGTATTCTAATCATACAGCAATTTATATTTGCCAGAATATGAATATCTTGTGTTATTATTTTAAGAAATATTTCAAGTTATATCGTGAAATTGTAACAAACTAAGTAGGACTCCCCCAGCCTGAAAAAGTGAACATTAATCAAAATAGGTGTTGTATTTCTTTACTAAATTGGCTATTATCTGGACTGCAAACAAAACCAATTTGTGTCTTAATGTCCAATGCACAATTTTGGTTTTGTAATCAGAAAGTATCAGTCAATTGAAGTCAATTTACTCATAATCATGTGTATTAAATCTTGTCTTATGCAAAACATATACAAAATGTCAAAGTTGTTTGCAATAATGAAAAAAAAAATGCATGCATGGACAAATTGTTTAAATAGTATTATGACCGTGCACATACAGGATTCTTCACATGATATAATTTCAATAAAGATTAAACTGTTAGCAACATATTAATGTTATCAGGTATAAATTGTTTTTTATTTTCAGGTGAATAATAAAATAGATTTTGATCTGGACTATGTTATTACACACCCTTCATACAGACAATATTTAATCTTATCTTGCATGCTTTTTACTATAAACAACTCTCAACAATTGCTTGATAAATGCATGTGTCAAAATGAATGTCACAAAGAAATATTTAAAGTTACTCAAGTTGCATTATATTTTTAACTTAAAAGAATAATAGATGTTTCTTTCTGTCTTAATGGTAGATAAAGGTTACATTAGATTTGTTTTGTAGAGAATAATATATCTGCATATCTATTTTATTAGTCATGACCATATCAAATTATTTACATGGAGCCATAACTTTTTCAAACAGGACTAAAAATCAATCTTGAGTTAGTGTAAATTCCTGTAGAAGTAATATAATGTAACTGTTTTGTTAAACATATTGTAAACATTTCACCTTGCAATTCTGAGCCCTGTTGTGGTCGTGGATTATAAAAAAAAATCAAAGTAAATCTTGGATACTCTCCAGGCAATTACAGGCATACCCTCACCCATTATAATAAAGGGGATTTACTCTTTGCCTGAATTAGTCAGTGAAATTTGTTGGATATTGGATACATGTACGTGTCTTTCTCCAAATTCTCGAAAGGGGGGGTTGTTTTCTTTGAGAATGTTTGAGAATGATGCATGCAACGCCTGGCTAAATTCGTGAACACTCTGTGTAAATGAGTGGGTTTTTGTTTATTTACAGTGGTAGGGGGGCAGGGCTAAGAAGTTGGAAGTAGTGTCGTCCCTTGAGAATAAAGATTGCAACTCTTGGCTAGGTTCATGGACAGTCTATGTAAGTGCGTGTATATTTCAGTGCGGGAGCCAAGAAGTTATAAGAGCTTTATTTTTTAAATAAAAAGGGTAGGTTTTTCGTCCACCAGTGCCACAACGCTGGATTGTCAAGATGCCCCATGCCAGATAATAGTGGAGTCTACTAAATTGCGATTTCTTTTTCTATGCTTTCAATAATATATTGATGTTTTCTTGAGGACTGCATCAAGTACAATTAAATCATAAATTAATCCATGATTTACACTGTAATTATCTTGTAGTAAATAATAAATGCAGATGTTAATTGATTCTCTGTTAAAAAGAAAATATTTAAAAAAAAAAACAAAACAAAAATTTTATTGAGTGGATTTCATGAACTATTAAATATTTATTTGAATTAATTATATGCCTGAAGGATTGTTATACTACAGTCATATAAATAACACAGATTGTTCTGGTGACTTCAAATGTAATTTGCAATTAAACAATAACCGCGTGCCATTATGTTTGAATTGGCCCGGTAGGAATGTACCGATATGTCAATTGAATCAAATCTTTATTTGAAAAAAAAAAAATCTTCTTAAAATAAGATTTGTCATGCCCTAGCATGCTTACAGCATTAAAATGTCAAGATTGGAATAAATAAAAAAGATTTGGCTTTGGTAGCAATAATAAAGAAGTCCTTTGTTAGGAGTTGTGAGTTTATGTATAATAGGTATTATGAGATATATATTGTATATCGAATTAAAATGAATATCTCCATTCAAGGACAAACCTTTTTTCATATTATTGGATATGTTCGTATTCATTACTGTGATTCAGTGCTTTTTTATTGTCCCCCGCCTTTCGAAGAAAGCAGGGGACTATTAAAATGTGTCTGTCTGTCCGTCCGTCCGTCCTTCACAATAACTCTTATTCTAAATGAGCTAGAATGTTCAAACTTGGTGTAGGTGTTTACTAGGTTAATGCCTTGATGGAGTTCGAAAATGAGCATTTTCTGCTTAGGGTAAGCAGAGATAAGCAATTTGATTGGTTAATGCTTTGGAACACGATAATTAAGTGGGAGTGATGAAACTTGGTTCATAGTTTCATTACACCAATACCTTGACGAAGTTTGAAGATGAGCATTTTCTGTTCAGGGTAAGCAGAGCCAGAAGCAATTTGAATGGCCGAGACTTTGGAACCCAATAACTCTCCTTCTAATTGAGCTAGAAAGTTCAAACTTGGTGTAGGTGTTTATTAGGTCAATGCCTTGATGGAGTTCGAAGATGAGCATTTTCTGCTAAGGGTAAGCAGAGATAAGCTATTTGATTGTTTGATGCTTTGGGACATGATAACTTTAGTTCTAATTAAGTGAGGGGGGTTGGATGGCTGAATGGTTAGCGTGCGCGCGCTGTATCATACAGTCTGCCATTGAGTCGACTGGCGTGGTTTCGAATCCCCGGTTGTACGTGGCAAGGAGTAGGGTCGCCTGTCCAACCTCGTGGGTTTTCTCCGGGTCCTCCGGTTTCCTCCCACTGCTAAAGACCCCTACGCGCAAGCGAATTATGTAAATAAAAAAATTAATAAAAAAAACATATGTTAGTCCCGAAATGACCTAGTTTGTGTCGAGTGGACGTTAAACCCCATTTCTTCCTCTTCTAATTAAGTGAGAGTGATGAAACTTGGTATATAGTTTCATTACATCAATACCTTGACTAAGTTCGATAATGAGCATTTTTTGATAAGGGTAAGCAGAGCGATAAGCAATTTTTGATTGGTCGAGACTTTTGAACACAATAACTCTCATTCTAATTGAGTTAGAATGTTCACACTTGGCGTAGGTCTCTATTAGGTGAATGCATTGATGAAGTTCGAAAATGAGAATATTCTGCTTAGGGAAAGCAGAGATTAGCAATTTGATTGGTTGATGCTTTGGGACACGATAACTTTAAGTGAATTCTAATAAAAAGGGGAAGAATCTTTGATTTATGTTAAAGCGGAAATTGCAAATTTTTAAGTTATATTTTTAAAATTT